TCCCCTGCCACTACCATAGACTGAAAGTATGAGTCACACTTTCACGGAGGTGGACTATCAAATTGAAGAGCACAGTATGCCAAGGAACAGTTCCTGTGTTTGGCGTGTGTACTATGAAGGAGCAAAGGGTTGGGCTGTCAGTCAGTGCAGAATGAATGCTTCTTTCATGTCAGTGGGGTTATACCCATTTATTACCATTGAGAAAGGTCAAGTCATTCACATTATCAAACAACAACTATTACAAAATCAATGCTTTATTTATTAGTTCTTTATAAATAATGATGCCTAGTGTGAGAATTTATTCCATAGCCATGCAAGGTGCTGTGTGGAATATCTTTTTGCTTAAACTCTTTTTTTCTGTCTCACTAACACAGAGGCTTTTTACCAATGGAACTTCATTATTCCGCTTTTCTCAAAACCTGAAAGTCACTATTGAATTGGTCTTTGGAAAGCTTTATTTACGTGTGTAAGTAGTACTGCTATTTTATAGTACTGCTACATAGCCCCATAGTATTTCCTCTGTGTATATGAAGGCGTTTGGTCAAATCACTTCTCAAGAGTGTCATCAGTTCCTGCTTCTGCACAACAAAAGATTATTTGGACGTTTTTCTCTAGTTAGTACAATGGAACAAATCAATTCTCATTCCTATACTTGTATTTTATGTCCATATGCAAGAAATAGAGGGCTAAAAAGAAAAAAAAAAAGTCTGTTAATCTTGAATTGGATTTCTCTTCCAGCTGCCTGAACAAGTTGATTCCAGTGCAATTTGCATAGCTGGGAAGGCTGGCAGGTGGTAGGAAATATTTTGGTAGGAAATATTTTGGATTGGTGGCCTTTTACCACAGCCTGAAATTAAGTAGGTAGTAAATCTGGAAGGGATTTTTTTTTCCACCCAAGTTGTTAAATAACCACTATTCTTACATAGATGTATGTTTCTTTTGAAAATGTGAAGGTTTTTGTTTTTTTTATGGCTTGGTTCTGAGGAAACCCTAGATAGGCTTGTGTAATTCAGCATAGAGCATCAGCTCAGTAACTCTATGAGCTCATTGAGAAGACATGACTTGGAAAAGAGGCATTAAAATACACTATAATTAAGTTATGCTGAGGCATCAGAACATGCACAATGAAGTTTACTTTGAAAAGTGCATGAATTTAGAAAGAGAAATATCTGTACTGGGGACTCTGAAAGGAATGTTCACTGGTATTTAGCTGGGACTTAAATGTAGTGGTGCCCGTATTAAATAGCAATAACAGAGTGCATGTGAATTGGGTGTTGTATTTTTAAATACTAGACGTACAAGCACAGTTTGTCTGCAAAGAGATTGAATACAGAGGCAATAATGACAGCATCTGTGAATATTTCCTGCAAAATAGTTGAATCATTTGGAAAGAAAGATGCCTGTGTATTCATGAATTATAGGAAGATCCCATTTACCCGCAAATCAGCCACTTCAATAAATAATGGCACTAAATCTTCACTATTAGTTGGCAAAGGTCTAGAAGATGATTCTTCCAGTCTCACCAAATGTGTCTCCTATGTTCCTATGCCAGTTTTCGTTAGCAATGACATGAAATACAGTTCAGATCTGTAAAAACATGCATAATTTCTATTTAGATTATATGCAAATTAAACTCACCCCAAAGTTCACAATTACAGTTTATAAGCTATATAAAAAAAAATTCTAAAATAATTCTAAAATCCAAATATCCCGGGTTATCTAGTAGGTACTCAAGATCATTCAGCTAGTTGAAGTCTTTAACATGTAACTAGAATTTTGTACCTCCTAACATTTCATTGTAAGTATATTAATATATATATATGCATTTCAGTTCAGTAGCTAAGTTATTCAAAGTTGAACAACTGCTTGAGAATTACAACAACACCATTTTATCTTCTGCGACATACGGACATAGTTCTACAAACATAAAATATATCAGTGTCTTTGCAGGATTTTGCTTTCTGTTTTTATCATGCCTGTATACTTTTAGTATTCAAATAATAAAGCTTATCCCTATATAGATGTTTGACATTCCTTAAAATTAAGGTGGATTCAAACTATGTGTAAAATTATCTAATAAATGCATCATTACTAATTTTAAACATGAAAAATATAAATGCACTTATGTTAATCTATATCATTACTTACCTTGAGTAAATACACGTAAAACGGTAGAATTATTCTCCTAAATAGAATGGAAAAGTGCCAGATTTTTCATGGTCACATATAATCAAATAGCAATGTATTTTATGAGATTTAGTCTTTCCTTGAAAATTAGAGTTATAAAATCTAAGTCAAATTTACATTATTTAAAATAAGTTGCCTTCTTTGCTGATTTAAAACTTAAATGCTGGTTTTACTCTACAAAGAATTTCTGCTAATTCTGCATGGAGGTATATTCCAGAAAGAGTGACCCAAAAAAGTGATACGTTACGTACGTCACCTGGGAGATAGCTTTCATTTTTTCACATTAGAATAGGTTAATTTTCCTATAAATAAAAATGTACACTTTTAATTTGGAAAGGGGAAAAGGTATTTAAAAATGTCTGGTTTTTACAGTGTAGGAAGTAGAGCGATTGTTTTCATTATATGCATCAATTTCTCCTGTGTTTTTCCTCTTCCTCCGAAATCTTTATGTACTTTTTGCCTATGTGTATATAATTTGTGTATTTGTGTAATTTTGTTGAGGATTTTTATTTTGAAATAAACCCAGATATTGAGATTTTTCTTGTATTCACAGTAAAGGATGCAGTCTCTTCCTCTAACTTATTTCCGACAACAGAGACAGTGCTCATCAAAGCAAGTAGAATTGTTTCATGGTTTAGCATTTGAGGACCAAACCACCTATGGGCAAAAAATTCAGTAGGGGGTTCTTGAGTGTTACAGTATTTGCTTTGTATTAGCTCCTAGGTATCTCACAGTCTTCTCTTCGGTCAGGTCTTTGTTGTGCTGGATTTTTGAAAGTGATGGGTTAGTAATAGTTCCTTTCCTCCTGACAACTTTACAGCAGTGTCAATATGCTTCTATTAAGGGATATTTCAGTAATGTCTGTAGTTTGCTAACTATTAAGATTTAAGTTCATTCCTTGTTATGCTCACAAATTATAATGGTATTGAAACAATTATGATCTTCATTTTTGAGTCGGCTGGAACTGTGTAGATGCCTTCAATCATATTTTGAAATCTCAAGACAAAAGAAAGAACCTAGTCTAAGAAATGGAAGTAACTGTCTGAAAAAAATTCAAGTATATCAGAAAATGTCTAGCTTAATAAATATTCTGTGTTAGTGCAATCCTTAAATAAGATACTCTTGTGCTTATATGGGATGTCGTCCCACTCAAAGGTTGGATGGGACAAAAGGTAGACTGCTGTAGGAGAATATTTCAGATGTTTTTTGTGCTCTTTTTTTATACCATTCTCCTTTTTAAATAGTCCACTCCCTCTGAGGTTAGAAAGTCATGTAGTCTGGGAATTTCACTTGAAAATTCCTTTGAGGCAAAGCTGTTCCTTTGTAATTCATGTGGTTTCCATCACATTTCATCCAAAGTTATAGTATATAAATTATCACTCTCTGTCACACATAGCTAAGTGCATAGAAGAGAAGTTTATCCAGGTGGTGTCAAGATACTATATTAGGTATAGCACTGGAAGAGCTGAGGGATAAGCTGAACACTAAGTATTTGGAAAAAAATGCAGCTGGTATGGTAACTGCTAGAGTCTGCTGTACTGTTCACTTCTGTGTAGTGGGACAGGTAGCCAAACTTGTGGAGAAACATTAAAGAAGAAATGTTCTTTCTACAGATTTCCAAGAGCAAACTCCAGCGCATCTGTCCTATTTTGTATATTCAAGTTCTTACCCTCATTGGTTGTGTTGAATTAGGCAGCAACATACAACAAGGTGAAAAGAAATGGTGATGGTTTTATAAGAGGAAAGATAATAAAAAGAGGAAAGATAATAAAAATATTGTATATTTTAGATAAAATGGTCACTAATACCTGATTTTCAAGGAGCTAGCAGAATATCTTGAATTCCACTTGATGTTTACCCAGCAAGGTGGTAGGCATTTTTTCCTAGCCTTAAGGATATGGAGGGAAGTTTTATGTAAAAATCATACATGTAAACATTTTTAAGTAGGTCTATTTCAATGTAGCCTCTCAGTTTTTCTGCAAGAGGAGACATGGAAATTTATGACAGAGGTAATTATAGATTAGAAGGGGGTTTAGTTTTATTTTTGTTATTATTTTAAGGTTTTGATTATCAGTCCAAGCTTTGTTGTTGCTGTCCTCTGAAATAAAATCCTGGCTGACTTAGTTACAGATGGTATTCAGATGATTGTCAGGCAGGATGATTCAGTGAGACCCTGAAAGGGACACTTGTGCTGTTATTCTCGTAGCAGCAAACTTTATCAAAGTAGTTGTCAATTGTTGCAAAGTTGTGTTCCCACAGATACAGGTTGTTTCATGTCACATGTGTTCTCTGCCTCCTAAAGCATATTCTTATTATCAAGACAATAAGCTCTTTAGACTAGAGAAGATATTTTTGCATTGTGCTTCTTCCAGCACAATGAACCTTTGAGCACTATTGAATATAAATACTAATAAAAACTGTAGTAAATGTGTTGAGCAGTGTTCCACCCTGCATAAAATATATACTACATTGCTTTAAACTTGTCTCTGTGAACGTTCTTGTGAGCTGTGTTTGGCTGCACAAGCAATCATCTAGTCAGGAAAAGAGAGGTTGATAAACCAGCCCAAGTCTGTTTGGTTTTTTTTAATTCAAAGTACTCAGGAATGATGTATAAATGTAATTGTGTTTCTGTTATGTTCTCAGCAGTGTTTTAAAAGGTTATAAATCAATTGTCAGTATGGGAAAAAGTGTTGATTACAGTGTTAACTTATAACAGTCCTCCTACATATATTTTTTGAAAAAAAGGTAACGTCTCAAGAAAGAGAAGTATTAATACATGTTTCAGCATCTGATTATTTTCAATTTTCCCACAGATATCAATGAGTGTCAGCTACAGGGAGTATGCCCCAATGGTGAGTGCTTGAATACCATGGGCAGCTATAGATGTACCTGCAAAATGGGATTTGTGCCAGATCCTACTCTCTCAAGATGCATACGTAAGTAATGGTACTAAGCAAAGTACCAAAACAGACACTTAGTTGCATCTCAAAGATTTGATCGGGCCTAACTATTCTGTCACCTTTTTTTTGCTGTCCCCACCTCATCTTCTCAGTTTATTCACTTTACATAGTCAGTCTCAGTGTGTTCGTGCCTATTTTCTGTTTCTTTGTCCTGGAAATGTTGGTTTCCACCAGTGGCTGCCCAAGGTCTTTGCTATCTTTTCCTGGCTTGTAATAAAAAACCTTCAAGGACACATCCAGCCTCGTCATACATTCAGTCTTTCTCAGTAGCTTGGAGTTCTCCTTCCTACACATTTTTTTTCTCCTGTCTCTGTTACTTTCCCAGCCAAAATCATATTTGTGTTTTGCTCTTCCCTCTTCCACCTCTGCAGCTTTGATCAGAGTAGTTTCCATGACTAAACATTTGGCACATTTTCCTTCTCATTAAAAAGGATTAAAAATTAAGAAATAATTAGGAAAAAGTTGTGAACAGCATGAATGCAAAGATTTACCTATTCTAGTCAGCTTTTACTTTGAGATCAGCTAGCTCTGTGAGAAGGGAAGATGGTGTAGAGAAAAACTAAATTTTTCACTTTACATTTTCTGCGAAGAATATGTACAAGTGAAAAATAGCTTAGGAGATAAGCTCCTTCTCTGAGCTGTCTTCACAGCTAAAATATGGTCTTGAGTTACAGGTGAATTCTTTTTTTTTTTTCCCAGCAAAATTATCCAAAGCTACTAGTTAATGACACTCAATTACTGAGAAAGTTTCTTAGCAGTTTGAAGAAAACTTCATATAATTTTTGAGTTGAACACAAGAAAAAAAAGCGGTTGGTTGTTTTTGGTTTTGCTTTTATGTGTCATGTTGAAAATCGGGTAGTCTTTGTATTTTTAAGTGAACAAGTTACCCAAAACTGTTAACCATATGCTAATTTGGATGCATAAATTAGAGAGCTGGATGGGTCTGAGCTTTCTCATACTAGTCATAGCTTATGACCTTTGGCTCTTCCACATTAAAACTAAGTGTAACAAAATGTAAATATCTAATTTTCTCTTTTATAAAAAAAAGTGTCATATATGATACTTTATGCTTTTGCAGTCTCACTGACATAGCCTACTTCTGGATGAATGTTCTAGTGGGTATGTAGCTTTGACACAACTGTGTAATGCCTATGATTGATCTTCAGCAACTGGACTTGTGAACAAGTGAGAGAGCCAATTCTGACTCTATTGTGACAGCATGGCAACTTTTAAATTTTTTCTTTCTTTAAAATACTTATCCTTGGTCTAAGATGAGTTTGAATCCAGGAGTATCTGATGCAAAATAAGATTTTTTTTTTGGGGGGGGGGGTTGATTCTTGTTTGAGAAAGGTGTTTGAAGTAAAACTTCTGCAGGCTGTAATATTAATCCATTTAACTGGTGTTGGACATCTCATGGTGTTTCTCTATTTTGCTTTATGCCTGAATAGTAGCATCGTCTCTTCCAATTTCATTGCAGCTGATAATCCTGTAGTTGCTGAAGAGAAAGGACCCTGCTACCGGTTTGTCAGTGCAGGAAAGCAATGCATGCATCCTCTTTCTGTTCAGCTCAGCAAGCAGCTTTGCTGTTGCAGCGTTGGCAAAGCCTGGGGCCCACACTGTGAGAAGTGTCCACTTCCAGGAACAGGTAAGAACATCCCATTAAAAATACAAGCTTTTCCCCCCACCCCTACGTTTGTTTTGCATGCTTTAACCACCCCCCTTCCCCCCCCGCCCACTATATATTGTAGGTATAGGAAAATTAACCCAAAATCTAGTTAATAGTCCTCAATTGTAAAAGGATCTGGTGAAAGGATGGCAGCCTTTCAGAGTTAGGTACGGAAGTATGTGGGTGGTAGTTTATATTACAGTTAGTAGGATATACATGGTAGTATCTCTTCTTCCTCACCTTCCTCCACGTCCTTACCATCCATTTTGAGAATTGTGGTGACGATGGTGTTGCCTTCTTAACAATAAAAACTTGTAGTTAAACATTTCTTGCCAACTTTCGCTTAAACAATTCCATACTTGTTACATATAGCTCATTTGTATTATCAGTTCCCTTGGAGTTCTGCTGTTCTTTATGTATATAAGGATTCTGCAAATACCAGCTTGTTTGGTCACCCTCATTTAGGCTTCTTATAGATTAAGATACCACATATTGTAGATACTGATTGCTGCTTTTAAGTACTTTCTAATTCTGAATGTTGCTTAAAACTTAAATGCCCATGGATTCTTCAGTCTATATTAATTAAATTTTATCTTTTTGTCCAAATGTATGGCCAAATTAATCTTTTTTAAAAACATAGTTGTTTGTTGCAATATATATGATGTCCAGCCTCTTCAGTATTTTAGCACAGGTATTTGTAATGGCAATCCACTGTGCTTACTTGAATCTGCTGCTGCAGACGTCACTGATATGATACAGGTCATGTATTTTTTTGAAATATTATAAAATGATTTACATTGTCAAAAACAGCTAGCTGCTTTGGGAAATCTACAGCTAGCATTAGAGACATGATGAAAGCAGCAGATTCCCTCCTTTTTTTAAGTTGATCTTACAGAAATGGAAATGACCAACATTTTTGAGCATTTCAGTTGTTTTTTAAAGTTGTTTTTTTCCTGCATGACCACTGGGTCACTAGTTCACTGATCAGAATTTTAAAACTCCAGTCACTTTCAGATAAATAATAGCTATGGATTTGAGTGGAGAAAAACATATATTCTCATGAGATGACTCACAATTTAAATGCAAGTGTTTTGTATATGCGAGAATATTGCGATTTCCTGCCCAATTGTGTGTGTTATGGAGCAGAGAATATATCCTTTTGTTGACTGCTCTCTAGTCACAACAAATACATTGAATAACATATAGAATTGGTTATTTCAGTGATTTTTTTTTTCCCTTAATGTAAAGGCTTCGAGGAGAAACTCTGTGAGTAGAAAATTTTGATGAGCTTTTCCCATTTAATGATTACTTTCATAATTTAAAAACATGTTCCTTTCTGTAACAGGTTAAATTCATAATGTTTCAGAGTTTTCTATGAAAAATGTGTGAAAGTGGCATACTCCAGAATGGGGTAATGTATTTACTGCAGCATCCCATGTAAAAGTCATGATCTCACTCCCTGATTGCTTCTAAAATATTTGTATAGAGTAAATAATCTTCTAAAGAAATACTGAAACCAGATATGTAAGGCCAGGTTTTGAGAGCATTTATCACTGCTGTGATAGAGTAAGGCTCATGTTTCTACTTTGCATTTGAGAGAATATGACCTGAGGCAAGTTTGCCTAAAACCTGAGTATGCATCTGAAGGGACAGACATCAAATTTTCTCTCCTTCTCCTTTGACCAAAATTCCCACCCTCATTTGGGCATTTTTGTGGCAATCTGATATTAGCATATCCAAACAAAAGTATTTCATCATTCTGAATCCACTGAATTTAATCAGTTTGTTGACCCTTCATATTTTCTATTACTAAGACACCATGAGAAGCGATTATACAATTAATGCATACTGCAATTTAATGTATAATTTAATGAATTAATCCGTACACCTATAGGTAGTACTTTGTGTGTTTATTTTAGATGCTAATTCATTTTAAAATCCTGATATGTTTAAAGCAGAATTTGTGAATTTAGCAATGCCCCCCTCCACACACCTCTTACAAAACTGTAAGAAATCACATTGGGCACATGGAAGACTAAATGTTCAGTATTTCATCCCATAAAACATGGCTTAACCTAGAGTAATGAAGCAGTGCCCCCACAAGACTCCTGAAGGTCTCCCTGTCCCTGAGAGGAGCAAAGCTATTATCTTTGGTAGGGAGGAAGACTGACCTGTATTTCTTTTTCATTTTAGTCTTTCAGTAGGATTGCAAACCCTGATATTTATGTGGAGCAGCTGCAGAGATCAGAGCAGGTGCAGCTGCCTGACATTCGTTACTTTTCTCTGTAGCAGCTTTATAAATGAGATTATTTCCCCTCTCTTCCACTGGTGATTTGGCTTTTTTGTGATCCCCAACTTGTTTTTATCCAGCCTTTTTCAATTCAGTGGAATTTGGATCAGGGCTGGTATGAGATCTCTGATGTAGTCTGATGGGATCCTGTGAATCAATGTTGTTACGGTTGATAGTCTTCTGCTCCTCTAGTACAGGGGTGATGAGCTTTTTCTCCTTTGGTTTCTGCAACAAAGAGAATGATAGCATTCATTCCTTATGCAATTAAGATGATAATGACAATTTGCATATTTAAATTAATGCACAGAAATAATATATTGTTTGAAGGGGATTAATGCAAAAAAAATGTGATATAATGATAGATTAAGCATAACTGAGGAAAAGTGGTAAACTGGAGTGGAAACCTCCCAGAAAAAACAGCCAGGACATGCTTTTGGGAGAACGCTCAGTCATATTAGCATGCAATGCATAGCTTGTCTTAAAGTAGTTTTTTGTAAAAATGTATATACAATGAGATGACATTTTTTAGTGGTAGTCATTATATTTTCCACTATGTCAACATATTGCACTTTTAGACTCCTAAAAGGAATATTTTCCCATCCCAAATCTAGCTGCTTTTAAGGAAATCTGCCCTGGTGGAATGGGTTATACGGTTTCTGGCCCTCACAGAAACAAGCTATATCATCACCCTGCAGTTAGAGTACAGCCACCTGTCATTGGCAAGACCCCGATTACTCAACCTGTTGCTAAAGGTACCTCTCCTCCACCTCTCCCAGCAAAGGAAGAGCCAGTGGAGGCACTGACCTTCTCACAGAAAAGTGAGACTGAGATGGCTGTGCAAGAAGGTGAGAGTGGGAAAATTTAGTCTTTCTATGTTTCTGTGCATGTGTCTTCAATGGTATGTTTCTTTGAGTAGTGAGTATGTTTCTTGAGCATCCAGTGCAGGACAGAGAGGCATCACTTCCCCCAGCAGAGCGTTCCGTGTCGTGGAGTGTATCGCATTACATGATTTACTTCTGAAATTTTAGGTCCTACAAGGTGCTGGGAACACCATGGAGAGAGAGACTGCTTTAATCTCATTAATTTTCATGATGAAAAACAGTACATATTTGTTGTAAGACTTTAAAAAAAATTATAAATTAAAAAATATATTGATAAATTTAAAAAGGCAAATTGCAAGGGAAAACAAGAACTTATATGAAATTCCTACTGTTCCTTCCCACAGTGAAGGAAAAAAACCCCAAACCATTCTTGCTTGCTTAAAGACAAACTTTAAAACTTGATTTTTTTTAACAATAAATTATTGCAAATTTGTTAATGATAAGTTATATATCATTATGATATTATTTTACCTTGAAAATATTTCCAGATGTTGATATTCCTTTGAAGGAATTGAAAAAGTTGAATCAGTGAGTTAATAATCTGTGAGTCTGTCAGATTGTTTCTAAGAAAACAGGTAAACAATTCAGAAACCTACAAGGCAGCTGAATACTAAGTAAATAATCGTTGGACAATGTGTAGAATCTTATCCTGGTTCCAGGTTAGTTTGTACACTTGCTTCAGGAACAATTACTTCAAGCTTGCACTGTTTTGAAATGAGGTTAGAGCCTGATACATTTTTGCGATGGCAGCAACCACCTTCAGATGTGATAAAATACATAAGTAAATGCTTTTGTGAAAACTGATTAATTTTCCTTTTTCTTTCTGGTTTTAGTGGCAACTGCAGCTCCCGATCAGGTAAAACATGATGTGATTTATCTAGGAATTAAAATGCGGACCGTGTGTACAAGATATGATACGGATAACTCTGAAAGGATTTAGAATTTATGATTAACAAACAACTCACTGTGGACGTACTATGCAAACCCTGAGGCAAAAAGAGCTCATGTTATTATTATATACAACAACAGGCAGGTAGTGAGGTACAGGAAAGAGATTACTTTAACCTATCTTAAAGGCATTTAGTGGAGGGTGTAGTATATATTGTTCTATCCCATTCTGGAGAATGTATTTTAAAGAGGATAATGAAAAATGCAGACAATATGAAGAAGAGACACAGATACTGACAGCTAGAGAAAATGAGTCAGAGAGAAATAGTATGAAGCTTTGAGAAGCATTTGTGACACCTGCTTATGAGACTTGTATTAGTGCCTAAGCTGTTTTTTTAGGGTTTCTGTGTATTCAGTGGAGAAGCGCGAGTTCATGTGTTAAGTCCTCAATTCAGGAGGTTTCGGGTTCTGTATGTTGAAGATAATGGGATTTGTTGTGAATAGCTGCAGCTGTACTTCATTTATTTTCCTAAAGATTTACAAGCATCTAACATTTCTGTGAAAATAAAATGATCAGTGCAATAGATAAGAGAGAACCTTTCACAACAGTCAGAGACTTAGATGTGATTGTATACTTTTCTGTGGTGCTGAACTGGAATTAAGTGCTATTCTAAGCAAATAAAGACCAGGGAATGGGAGAATTATGGAGGGACAAAGCCAAAGAAGCTCCGTGAAATGGCTGCTTCAAATAAAATCAGTGTTAAATTGTATGCTATTGTATAAACATAGTATTTCATATTCTTTCAGGCTTAAATTGGTGGTGATTAATGATCTGCTATCAAAACCACTCGTGAGAATGTTAGCAGTTTCTCAAGCAGGAGTTTGTGGGTTGTTATGACAGATGAAATAACGGAATGTTTTCAGAATGTTATTTTTTTAATCTTTCTTCTAGGAATTAGCTTCCCTTGATCAAGAAAAGCAGCCTTACCTAGAGCCTGGGCAGCCTCAGCTTTCTCCTGGAATTTCAACAATTAACCTTCATCCACAGTTTCCAGGTAACTTATTTTAACATTTCTTTCAGGATGAGAGAGTGCTTACAGTTCTTCAAAGAATGGGAAAGTAGCAATTGTAATAGAGGTTAACAAAAAATTGACTGAAGCTTCAGAAGCAATTTCTCCATTATCCAAAAAAGAAAAAAAATCATGGAAGAAGTGGGAGGAATAGAGGTTGGCATCAGCTAGGTGACTTGTTAGGTGGCAAAGACATATTTTAAGTAAAAGTGATATCTTGGATTATGTACATGAGAATTTTAATATCAGCAAAGGTGAAGCCTTATACCCCTTTCAAGGGGAAACTGTACTTAGGTGCCTCCTTATAGATTTATGCTTAACTTTTGCTGCAAGTTTTATGACTGTATTTGCTTTCTTTAGCACCTCAGGGTTTCTTCACAAGCAGTAGAATGATGAGAAACCCAATTATACTGGGTTTTTTCCCCTACTCCAGATCAAAGCAGAATAAACAAATTAAAATCTCCATTGTGTCTGGCTTATTCAGTATCATGTGGGAATTCTTTAAGGAGTGAGAGGTTTTGAATGCTTTAAGGTGGTTTTCTTGGATGTGATTGATTTCCATTCCATGTCACACAGTAGTGATTGAGAAAACATCCCCTCCTTTGCCTGTTGAAGTTGCTCCTGAAGTCTCTACTTCAAGTGCAAGTCAAGTTATTGCACCTACTCAAGTTACAGGTATTGTACTTCCTTTTTAGAACTATAATAAATTAAGAAATGACTGAGCTCCTGACACTTCTGTTGTGTGCTATTGTTGAATTACCATAGTGAAGAGAATGTGGCTGTAGAACACAAAGGAATCCTCTTGAGAGAAAGTACACAACAGCACAGCAATGAGGGTGCTGTCAATAGAGACAGGACTGGGCCCTCCCAGGATGTACCTGCCATTTTTGTGCCAACGTAAAAGGTAAAATTAATAATTCTACCTCAGATTACATGATCTGCAAGGAAAGTCCAGAAGTAAATACTTCTTGGATACAAGTCAGGTCATTAGATAGTCTGCACATTTGTTCACGAAGTATACACAGTCATGTTCATTAAAGGATGTAGACCTCATGGGATGTAGATCAACATGTTCTGCAGAACGCAGATGAGGAGTTACTGTTAGATGTATTTTTAAATGTTCTTTTGATATTTTGTGCTATTTTTGATGTGTTAGTTGTCTTGTCTACATCTATATGCTGTTATTTTCACTTCTTGACAATGCAAGTCATAGCTGAATTTTGTCTAAATGATAGTTGTGTCCAAAAGACATGAATATTGTGCATTTACTGAACTATGTGGAGATTTTAACATGAAACTTCTTTTTGTTTGCTTAGAAATCAATGAATGTACAGTTAATCCCGATATCTGTGGAGCAGGACACTGTGTTAATTTACCTGTGGGATACACTTGCATCTGCTACGAGGGGTACAGACTTAATGATCAGCAGACAAAGTGCTCTGGTATGAAATGATGCTTTCAAAAATCTGAAATAACCATGCTATGAAATGCTTGAAATGTAGAATCTGGTCAGGGCTAATATCTACAGAGCAGTCAAGAGTTCCTTCCTCTACTGAATGCTTCCAAAGTTCACACAGTTTTTTATGTCAAATAATATTTGCCAGGTACTCTCTTATATAGCCTTCCAGCTGCTCAGAAATGAACATGAATTGAATTGAATTGAATGAAAACCTTTCCCATTGTGTCATGAAAGAAAAACTGATTAGGCAGACCATCTCCTCTCAGCTTTATATCAGGTATCTAAAATGTCAGACTGCTAAGAAGAAATACACTTCTTTTTGGAGAAAAAAATTAATTGATGCCTATTTCTCAGAATGATATACTCAGCTATCAGCTCTGCAGCCAGATTAAATCCAGGAATTTTGTTAGGTCATTCCTTTCATCTGCTGCTGAAAAAAGAAAGTATATCATAAACACTGAAGAAGCACAATAGGAGATCTGCAAAGTGAGGTCTTCATCCCGTTCTAAGCTAGTAAATTCTGGAACAGAGGCCTCTGATGAACATTAGGAGAGCACAGACTGGCTCTACATGAGCCATTTCAGATTTGGAAGCAACTGTATCTATCTTGACTTTTATTCAGAGTGTACTGGTTCCTCTGCAACTTGGATCAGAAAAAGTGTATTACATCACGTCGCCAGATGATATACTATCAACTTTTCATGCCACCAAAGCTCAGTAACTTCACGCTGTAACACGTGCAATCAGGTGCAAATACAATATTAAAAAATAATTTACACAGCATAGCCAAATGGCAGCTCACAATACCTTTATTTCATCCAAATTGTTTTAATGTTCCATGCTTGTGACTTGTGCTCGTGTTGCACACAGTGTAGTGATTTGAACAGTAATCATGTCACGTTCTTCAGGCCAATGCAATATTCCTATAGTCAAGCCAATAAGAGCATTTTTCTCCAACCAAAACTATTTAATGAATCTTTTTTGCATCTCTGAGGGAAAATATGGACTTTTTCAAGTAGTTAAAATAATTACAAATTAGTCTTTTCAAATGCATGGAATAGAATGCGCACAAAAAATCACAACTAAATATGTTATTCTATAGTCTAATGTTTTCATTTCTTTTGTAGATATTAATGAGTGCAATCAGGCACCCCATCTCTGTTCCCTTGGACGCTGTGAAAATACAGAAGGAAGTTTCCTATGTATTTGCCAAGCTGGATTCATGGCCAGTGAAGATGGAACTGACTGTGTTGGTAATTACTGGCCTTCTTTATAGCAAATAAAAATACATAAATTAATCAAGAAGCTTATCTAAACCCCACTAAAGTCCCCTTTTCCATTGTTTTTTTTTTTTTTTACCTCAATGCCACTGGTACTGGATTGATGCCTGCAGGTGTTTTTAACTGTGTCACCAAGAGAGGTAGCTCCAATCACTTAAGTAGCTCCTATTACTTTTCAAAATGTTTATTTGTTATCATCCTCAGGTTAGCACTGTCTTGGTCACAATATACACACAGCAACACACGTTGTGTTTGCAACCACAGGGCTGCTCGTATTCTTTATTCCTATAGCCTGGCTGTTTCTAGAACTCATTCTCTTTGTGATTACAAGCCATGAGGTAAAGACTGAACTACTTAATGTTTAAGTAAAGCAGAGTTTAGAAGAGACACAAGCGTTCAACAATACCCATTGAAGCAGTTTCTCTTCTCTCTGTCATCTGCAGATTTTGATGAATGTTCAAGACCTCATACTTGTGGAGAAGGCTTTTGTATAAACACCCTGGGCTCATACAGATGTGAATATTGTGATAGTGGATACCAAATGAACAGGAGAGGGGAATGTGAAGGTAGGTTTGGACTCTTCACCAGGAGTGATGGTGAAGTGAAATTACCATTTATTGATAGCACAATAACAGTGCCAAATGTTACTGCTATTTGGAATGATTAACACTCCCTGCTGTTCAAGGGAGGCTTAACACACTGCAGCTTGAGCTGCAAAGGGGCAATTCTCAGAGGGTACAATCTTAAACAAGAAGCCTTTGTGGGTACTCTTCAATGTTTGTCATTATCTGATGTCTGGAACTGCAGTTCAATTCCTGTTATTTAGATTTAAGATGATGCAAAGGACTTCCCCCACTACAGACAGAACCATGTTGGGACAGCTATTTTTATGGCTCTCGCCATGAAATCAGTTAACTTCATTGTTAATCCTTCCCTGTATACTTTACCAGGTTTTTGTTTAAAAAAAGTTATATTTTTTCTATAACAGGTAGTAAATTATAAGTTGAATTTTTAATGTCTCTATCTAGCAGCTATTTCACATTGCAAGAGATCTCAGTATGTCTGACTTAAAGCTTCACATTATTTTTTAGGGTGATTTTTTTGCCTTTTTTCCTGTTTTTTTTTTCATTTTCAACTTGAATTGTGAAATAAAAAACACAAGCAGTTATTTCATTTTAAACATAGTTTTGTTCCTGCTTTAGTCTAAGTTACATAGGACAGAATAAAATTGCTAACATGTCAGGTTGCCTGGCAAATAAGCAACTTAAAGCTACCATGATATATCTACTGCTCTGAGCATTGCTAAAAGATTCCTCTTTCTATTTTTTTATTTATTTAAATGTTTCCCACATTCCACTCTTACAACTAGTCTTTGCAAATCTGCTCTGTGAGTAGGGAATCTGATTAAAATAGGCTAGAATTCAGAATATTACAGCATGTCAAATTTGTTATTAGCTTGTATTTTAAGTAGTGTGGTAGGAGTCCTCTGTAATTTAACTTAACAATATGTAATTTCTGAAACCAAATTCTCTGTTGAAAGTTATTTAAGGTTGCTTAAGGGAAAAACCCTCCTACACTAAATACATCAAACCAAGGAAATGACACATTTGGGGAATTGTTTCACCATGTCATTACACCTTCGCGGTATAGTCACCCTACTGACAGATTTCAGATTCCACAAATAACTGCTTTCCATCTCCTCCACACTTCAAAAACAAAGGCAGGAATTCTCCAAAATGCACACAATACACACAGTTCACTTGCACTTCCTCACCACCTCATCTTCATTCTGCCCTCAAGTTGTACTCACACAGTCCAGACAGTTCTGAGAACAGGTTACAGCAGAAGTGGTTGGTTTTGTTAATTAATTTTAAAAAAGAAAACTCACAGCACTTTCACTGAGAAACTTTTGCAAGTCTGCAGTGTAGTGGCTGAAAAGACCTGTTTCTGTTTTTTTATGAGAAAGTATTCTGAGCTGGACAATCATGATTCTATGAAAAACTGTGATTTGCCTACATCCAGTGAGTTTTTCAGAGCTGGGATGTTCAGTTCTCTGGGGTCTGTAACCTTGTCTGGTTCAATTACAAGTATTGGAGGCCACTTGACTTCTGTGAGCTAGTTCTCAAAACTAGGAGTAAATTACCCCCCTATGATACGTGCTGCACAAAACAAACCTCTTAGGCCTGGGGCAGGAAAGGAATGGGAGTTTAGGAAACTGGGTTTAGGGGTGACTTTGACAATTTAGTTAGTTCTGTGTACTGCATGAAGCAAGTGTTTGGTGGGAAAGGTTTTTTTAATTTTTGTGTAATTAAAGATCATATTATAAAATGATACTGGTGCATGGGAGCAGACTTCAGTGAGGCTGCCCACACAGTTTTAATTCCAGCATCTTCTGATTGTTGGTCACTTGACAGCAAGTCGCATCAAAATGTAATTTTTTTGTATGCAGTCTCCTTTAGATTGCATATGCTGCATGTGCTATGGGTTTCTTTGGTGCAGGATAAGGAGTTCTTGCTCAGAGCCTAGATAATGAGTTCCATGACATTTTCAGGACCTATCTCTTGTTGTTGTGGGTAAACTAGGACCTTGCCTGATACAAGTCCCACTGACACCCTAAACACAGCCAGCTGCAGTGATGTGGCTTGTGCCTGCTGTTAGACAAAATTTTCTTCCTCCCTGTAAACATCTTTAATTATCATTCACACAATTAAATTCTTAATCCACATAACACTTACATGCTGCATAGCTCTAGAACAATGGAGAATACAAAATTCCACTTGGCTTTTAGTTACAATTTTTATTGTTGTTGCAATGAACTTCCAAAGTCTGAATATAGGAAGAACCTCAGGGCACTTCAATATGATATAGGAGTGACATAAGCAAAGTTATTCTTACCTAAACCAGAAATCTGACATGGTGTATGTTCTGCAAGGCCTACCAAAGATTTGTAGTATAACAGAAAATTCAGATTCAGTTGCAGGTACTATGATCTAATGTATTTCTCAGAGATGCCCCTTTTCTGGTACAAATCTGTTTGAACTTGTCCTTTGCTCTGTCTCTAAGAGATAAAGTAAGCAACTCTTTACAATGCATTAATATAACAGGAGCAGAGTCAGAATAACCAATAACAGAATAACAGTAGTTCAGTGTTCTGTTACAGCTTTGACCAGTATTTCCTTTTTATCTTCTCTTTTGAAGACATTGATGAATGCCTGACTCCAACTACTTGTCCAGACGCACAGTGCCTTAACGCTCCTGGCTCTTACCAGTGCATTCCCTGCAGAGTGGGATTCAGGGGCTGGAATGGACACTGCCATGGTATGTTTAGTACTCTTTGTCTCTCCAGTCATCTGTCATCTGTTCTGAGGTGCTTTATTCCATATTCCATCAGTCCTACAACCTGATGGCAGTGTTGTGCCCTGGGCCCTCATTTTATTCAATAGTAATTGAAAATATGGAACAGAAAGGGGATTACTGTCAGTGAAATACTAGTAGGATGTTGTTTGGTATTAGCAAATGGAAAAGCATGTGAGTGCTAACACATCAGTGTGACTGACTAGAAAATTTTTCAATAAGATATGGGACTTTGCTCACAAAGCATATTAATAAACCTTCTTAGTTATCGCTATGTCCAGCAAAATATAAGAATATCTGAAAGCATCTTGTCTCACTTCAGGTTAGGATTTTAGGAAAGATTTCTCACATTTTACTTTTGTTGATTTGTTTTTAAATGTTAGATTTTTATTTTTTTCCAAATCAGCTTTGACTATTTGAGAGAAAGGTAAGAAAGATCAAATTAATCCGCTGTGCGAAAAGAAATCTATTGGGTTTTGAATTCCTCTTTTTGGGACTCAACCAGAAACTTAAATTTAACATCAGTTGTGAAGGATCTGCTGTCTGTTGTGAGTACTCCTGGCCACTCCATGCAGTATGTGCCCTATAATTTGTGATGGTTAGAATAAACATGGTACCTAAACAAGTGTACAATAACATACATATAAGGAGTGTTTGCATTATTGTTGTAGGTCAGATTGTCAGTGTACTTCGATAGCTCATTTCCTAATGTTTCCCAGTTGCTGTGATTTGTTTCAGTTCACAAAGCAATCTAAGAACACTGGTTGAAATAGCTCTGGAGGATGGGCACCTGCTGTACTCCACCTGCAAATGTGCTAGAGCCAGGTTGCAGTGAAGCATCTTAAAAATGTATGGTGTGGCTATCAGAGCCTCACCACAAGTTTTTGCTGTACAGGGTACACCTTTCTCAACCACCAGGTTTTCTAGAGAAGGCATACTGTCTGAACAGATCTGCCATGTCATAGCCACATATTTGGTCTTGTAATTTTACTTACTGTGGAGGAATGTATTTCTCAAGTAATTTCATGGTTTTTAATGGGGTTGTAGCAAGATATGAAACGTTTACAAAAAATTAATGGGCTTAACTTAGAACAAATTACTCCACAGTCATCTTTGTTTTGTTCCTTCCCACCTGCCTGGCTCCCCTGCTGCCCTTGCAGAGTGTGGCACATGTACTCTGTTAGAACAGTTCCGTCTTACTTAACTCCTTTTTTGCAAAAATGTTTACTTAGTTTTGCATTCTTTCCTAATATCAAGCTTGATTTCTATACCTATTTATAAAACTAGCCTGGTTGAAAATGCCATGGCATAACTTTCACTTGTTCCATTCTTGCTAACCAGGTTAGTACGAGCAAAATGAGAGAACTCATTGCTTTGCTCAGATTTACAAACAGAATTATGTCATGTAAGGAATAAATCTTGGTTCCAAGTTACTGAAACTTTTTTTCCTTGTATTACTGCATGTAGTTTCCCTTTTTCATTTGTTTTATGAAATGTTCTAAGCATCTAGACATTCTCACTCACTTCATTAGTGATGTGATCAGTTGATTTTTTGTTTATCCTAGACTTACATCATATTGGAAATGAGCCATAGACTTTTCAGAAAATGTAATGCAGACAGTTTGTCTTAAATCTGTAGCTCTGTAATATTGTACAGCTTAAATACACTAGAAAGGAAAATATTTTCCATTATCTGTGAAGGATATGTAAGTCCATTGTTCCATAAATTCATTTGTTTCTCCTGTTAATTTAGATCTGTCGCAGCTCTGCTGGTTTTCCCCAGTACTGTTTTCAGTATTTTTTTACCTCACTTCATTCCTCTGCCTGCATTTTATGCCATAGAAAATCTGGTGTAACAATTCTAGAGTTCTAGATGCCATTTATGTTGTAATTTTCAAGGGTTTAAAGCCAGGAACATAGCCACTTCTGTTTCTTTAAGGCAAGCCAATCAGTTCACTTCAAGCTTGGGTAGAGTACATTCAGTTGGAGTTTAGGTGGGAATATCCAAATCACATCAGAAATAAAGAATGACACCTGCACACCTCGCCTCCTCATTGTCTTGAAATTGCTACTGTCCCAGATCTTTCAATGCATTCGTGTTATACAGACACTGATTGATTTTTAAGCTTTCTTTCAATCACTGATTTATTTCTATTCCATTTTTATCTCTCTACATTTGCACATTCAAATAAATCCATGTATCATAATGTATCTAGAGCACACTTCTGTGTGGTGATGAACAAATAAAAAAAAAATAGATTGACAAAGCTCTCCATCCTCGTGGTGGATTTTGGAGCTCTGTAGTTAACTATTTTTATCACTGTGGTGGATTTTAACTTTTATCACTGTGGTGGATTTTAGAGCTCTGTGGTTAACTATCAATATTCAGCTTGTACAGCTTTAAGAACCCCATTAGAAGATATCAACAGTAATACACAGGTCAGCAGGGCTAATCCGTATACCTCTAGCCCTACTCTAAGGAGCTTCAATAGAATCAGTTACAGGTCTCATTTCATCTCAGAAATCTCATTTAGATTCTGTTACTGTTTTTCTGCTGGCGTTATTGGAAAGTCTCTTGATCTTGAAGTCCCATCCGAAAATCAGGTTTCTTTTTCAAGTAGATTGGAGGTAAATAGATGAAAATGAATCTGCAGGAAGCAGGTTTGTTGTTCGGTTGGAAATTTGTGTGCTTGACTGCTGAATTAGGTTCTGTGTGTTTTAACAGATTCTTCAATTAGAGCATTGATCATGAATGTTTAGAGCAAAGGTCGTGTTTTGTAGAGCAGGCACGTTTTGCAACAGTAGGGATCTGAGAAATTAACCTTGAAGAAAGGTAACATTTACTGAACTGCCATAGCAGAGCACCTGTGCTGGAAGCCACTTCATCTTCTTGGCAATAGGACATCTTATTTAGAGAGTTAGAGGCTTAAGTGAGGAAACAAGAACTGTAGGTCATTTGAAACATGGATGCTAATGGTGATTTTGTTTGTGTCTGGGGAAAGAGGGCTTTGTCAAAGTCAGATGGTACAGGAGCTTTTAACGAGCCATGAGTGATAAATTCATGAGGAAAATGGTTACTGCACATATTCACAATAGCTAATAAGAGCTATGATAATGATTTAAAGACGTCTAATCTTTTTTCAGCTCTTGCTGTGATACCGCTGCCTAAATAGCTCAAGTGCCTCTAAAAATCTGCTGGGCTTTATGCTGATGGGGTTTGTGTGCTTTCTGGTGGTAAAAGACAGGATAATTGGGAGTAATATGATTTCTGGCACATAAAAGCACACAAAATGTAGTTCTTTTTCTGCACCAGTGAAGCTAAAAAAAACCATCGTTTTTCATAGAAACAGGGATACATGCTTGCTGTTGACTACTCCCCCAAAATAAATAAATGAAATTTGAAAATTAAACCACTGCTAGGAAAAAGACAGTAATTGTTTTTTTAGAATACAGAATTAATTCTGGCTGCATTTATAACAAAATATTTCATTTATTTCTATGTCTGATTTCTATTTTGTTGATTTATACAAATTGCATTCAGAAGGAATTCTTGAAAATTATTCTTAAATAGTAACATAGCAATTTTCATGTTGGCTAAGGAAAGTGGCCCATCTAGTTAATACCCTTCTTTCAGAGAATGGTGAAATTAGGTGTCTATGGGATAACTTATAGAAAAAAAGGTTTTTTCGAGTCCTTCTAAATAAAGGATGGTTTGTGACTAGGAAGATTTTTTTATAATCCTATGGAGTTCTTTGTTGCATATGTAGATTAACCTTACAAAGGAACCTGCATGAAGTGCAGAAATCCCATTGAAATTCCTCAGGAATTATAGCCATGCTTATGTCAGAATTTGAATAAATTCCCAAGCTCAACTGAAAGGTGGTTGTACCCAACTTAATTTTACACTTGTGCTTTCTCTCTTTTCACAGATATAAATGAATGTCAGTTTGGCAATCTCTGTACAAATGGACGCTGTGAAAATCTGGAGGGATCTTTCAGATGTGTTTGTGGTCAGGGTTTCAAACTCTCAGCATCAAAGGATCAGTGTGAAGGTAGGAAATAATATGATGAAAATTCATAAGATTGCACTTTTTTTTTTGTTTAATCTTTCTTTTAATGGAGAAGCACCAAATGTACTTCACTGATGCTAAAAAACCCAAAATATGAGAATATGTATTTCCATTTTATGGCTTCCATGATCACATTGTAGATTTTGACATGTTATAAAGGCAATCAAAAACATGTAGTAATATTTATATTGCTGAATTTAAATTTCTGCAAAATCCTTGGCATCTCTGGCGTTTTGGAGGTGTGGGGACAGTGGCTTTTGCTGCCTTAATTGCTTTTCTTTTTATCTTTCTTTTTCTCCCATGAGAGTGAGTGGAAGCAAAAACCTAGGCTACTCCCTTTTGGAACTCAGCAGTGTTAGTTAACACTGAGCTGTTCCTTGCATTGGTGTCACTAAAATTCCAGTGGTACATTGTGAGAAAGAGAATTTGGTGTCATATTTCTAAGAACAGTACCTGTACCTCCGAAGTGTCAGTTTCCACATTTCTTCCATGTCTAAAATTCCTTTTGGGACTGCTCCAGTGGAACAAAATTAGCTCTGATGTTGGAGTGAAGCAGTCTGAGAGAGAACCTAGAGGGTGTACTAGAGGTATGAATATTCTTCTCCTTTGGGAGAGGGAACTTGAAACCTCTCCCTAATGGTGAAAATCTAGGACAGTGTCTCCAGGCTGTGGAAGCACACAGAAACCTATACATTTCTTGTCAAACGTTGGGTTTTCTGCTTTTCCCTTTCTGTTATCCTTCCCTAAGTGTCTCTGTACAGCACCAAACACTTGCAGACTTCTGAGTGCTAAAAATAACACAGTAAAACGAAATGATCGTTCATATAAATTTGTCGGCAAGTTTGAAACAAAACATCAGTGTAAGTTATGTGTCTTGAGTGAGTTAAATGTGCTGTTCAGGACACACAGCAGACTGGTCTTGGGGAAAATATGTAGACAAAATTTGACTGCTTCCTCTGAGCCTTTCATGGAAAAGAACCCTTGCCAAGCTGAGCTGGCATGTGCAGACTGTTCTCTTAAAGTGCACCCTTCTGAAGTAAAGACCTGTACACATGCCCAGATGCTTCGTGCAGCCCCACAGCTTTCGATGATCCTTAAATTCTAAACTTCTGTAGTTATAAAGGACCATTACTCAAGAGGTCAGACTACATAGCCATAACAGAGACCTGAAAAACCTCATTGAGTAACTTTCTCCTGTTTGAATTCAAGTGTATTTTCAGAAAGACACTCAGCCGTGCCTAAATGCTAGAAGTGACTAAGAACATACCATGTCAATTTAATTATGGGTTCTTAATGAAGATTTTATAAATCACGGAGGGAAAACAGGCTTCCCAGCTCAAACAAGACATGTGCTATGTTCTGAATTCGAAGCACCACTCCCCTCCAATATTTTGAGTTTTCCATAGGAAAATTTAAGTTTGGTGTTCAGTTCCATCTGTTAACTCAGGCTGACCCCAGTTTATGAGAAATGAAGCACAGAGGGATTAGCAGTGTTGTGGAAGCAAAGAGACATTTCCCTCCACTTAGATGACTAATGCTGTTACAGGGCAAGTATTTTAAGGAGCCTTAATGTACAACTTAGCAGGGAAACAGCCTGTCAGTGTGCATCTGAATACCACACCCTGTTAAAAGGTGGTGATCCTGCTGGAAAGTATTTTGTGGGTTTTGCTGACTCACTGAAGTGACTGACTTGTTACCTTTGCCAGATATAATAGAAACAAAAGCAGCTCTCAAGCAGCCTGTGTGTGTATTGTGAGTCTGTGTGTACCCATTTGTGCACTGAGGGATAAGTTGACACTACAGAAGAGAATGCTGAACACAGTCATCTCAAGGAAAACATGCAGTCTGCAATTTCATATAATTTTATGCATCATATTGCCTGTCTGTATTTCTTAATAAATAAGAACAAGAGAAGCAGTACTGGATATTGACACTCTGCTGTTTTGTTCAGAATTGGTCTTTGCACCAGTTGATTAGTAATGGGTATTTTCAGATGTGTTACATTTTCAGTGTCTCTTCTGCTGCAGATATTAATGAATGCCAGCACCGCTCACTCTGTACAAATGGACGCTGCAGGAACACAGAAGGATCTTTCAGATGCATTTGTAACCACGGCTACTCATTATCATCTGCTGGAGATCAGTGTGAAGGTAAGCTCAGGGACCTAAGCTACTGATTCATTTTTTTCAGTAAGATCTTGAGTATTTCACCTATAGGCATGAAATCTTTTGAGAATGGGGTAGAAATATGTGTTGCCTCTCTTTCTTTCTCTATAATGTCAAACTTCAGTAATCCCCACCTACACAGCCACATAATCAATGGATTCTTAGGAATAGTCCCTGTCATCTTTCCATATACAAGAATCAGTACATGTGTTTCTAACAGAAAGAGCAGTTGACATTATTACCAAATAAGAAAGAGCAGTTGACATTATTACCAAAAACAATTAAGCCTTTCCAAACCTTGTTGTTTATATTCTGACACAGAGGTTCCATATTATAAAGCTTCTGCCAGCAGACGCTATTCTCATGGGGGCCTGCTAAGTTAAAACTTCTTCTCCAGCTGGTTTTAGGAACCTGAAGCCAGCCCGACAGTCACATGTGCACTGGCAGGAGAAAGTAGTATAAGACGAGCTCCAGGGGATCTACTGGTGGTCACAGCTTTGCACCATAATCTACGTACTGAGCATGTAAAAACAAAAGTAAGAAGTGAAAGATGTACAGTAAATGTAGGGAGAAATGTTGTGTTATAGAAAACAAAAACTTTCTATTATCTCTCAAGTAGAACCATTTATTTGTCCAGTAATGGCAAACTGGCTTTTTCTAGTGAATCATTTCAAAGCTACTGCCTCTTCTCTATAACATCTTCTGGCTATAACACCTGATATGGTACATCTGCTGTGCTACTCATGGTCACCGTGAGCATGTAAGATTACTTATTAGTGAGCTTCAGGAAAGATTGTACCTCAGTTGCTTTCTTATCTCACACTGGCAGCAGGAAATAGCTCTCAATTAAGGTCTCACTGTATGTGTGGTATTAGCACATAAAACCTTTTTGACCTCTAGTATGCTTTCTGTAACTGCTTACACCATGGAAGATACAGCTTCTTACTGCTCTTCTACCAAATGGTGTTCTGCTGCTAGGTTATCGTCCACACAGCACATGGAAGGCTCACCTTCTCCCTCACAGCAGTGTCAGGAATCCTTCTCTTCCAGTGATCCAGGCAAAAGAGCAGTTCCCCCTGAGCCAGCCAAATACTGTTTTCTCCAGGCAAACCTTTAACAGACTTTATCATCAGTGATTATGCTGGATTGTGAAAATGAGTGACAGCACCTCTTGAAGTTCTCACCAACAAGGAATGAGGATAATCTCATAAAATCTCCCTAGCACAGTGATACTCTTTGGTACTGACCTATTTGGAGAATACATTCATGCAAAAATTTAACACAAGCTTTTCAGAATTCCTGGTGAGTACCAGCATCACTTGCATCAGCTTCAAGAAATGTGGGCTGATGATGCCAGGCACTAGAAACTTATGTCAAAGAATTTTGCTCTCATCTGGCTTCAAGATCTTCATGAATTGCAGCAGATGCAGAAATACTGTGTCAAGAATCAAAGAAAAATGTGGTGAAAGGGATCATGGGTCTTCCTACCTCCCAAAGGCAGAACAGACAAGAGGTATCATGCCTGAGAACTACTCATCTAGCCTGCTTTGGGTACGCTTCAGCAGATGAGATTCCAAACTTCTCTTCAGACTGCTTTGGTGCATTTCGTACATCCCAAGAAGTCATGGTAACTGTTGCAACTCTCCATCACCAGGCCTATCGGGTCCATGGTCCATGCTTTATTTTTAACCTTTTCTTGGTAGTTTTCAAGACAAAATAATTTCGAACTCTTTCAAAGCAAAAGTGGGATTGGATCAAACAAGGAAAAAGGTTAAAACTGCTCTCTCACCCTAGAATCTTTGTCTCATTTGCAAGTCTGCTACCAAATCTAGAGCTTCTCCAGCCAGTGACATAGTGATTAATTTCTATAGACACAGTTTTTTCACTGAAACTTTTCATAAATATTACAAGTCACCCACAAAATCTATTCATCTCTTGAAATGGAAGGAATTCTTCTGTGCTTTTATTATATCCCTTCAAAATTTTCTGAAGTATAGGATATTGCAGACTTGTACCTTGGAAACTACATTTATACAGACTATTCTTGTTCTTCTGTCAGTAAGAGTGGTTGGTGCTACTGCTTTAGCTGCTATACATTCTCCTCTCTTGTTTCTCCTCACCTTGTAATGTAATTATTTTTGAAGGCTCCTTGAAGCGTTCAGTGCACATTTGGGGAACTCGGGCTACAATTTTAAATCTCACATTATTTTCGTATCAGTGAAGGTCCTCAGCTTCACAGCCATGTTCCCATCTTCATGAAAATGGCTTTCATTGTGACTGTTAGTTCAGCCAGATGTGTGTGAGAGCTACAGGGCAGAGTTTCCATAAAGACAAAATAACCTTGACAAGACATCTGGTGTTTCTCCACATAATGGCCTCTGATCTTTGGATTAACTTATTTACCTGAATATTTTCTAACACTTCACAGAGAAAATGAGAAAGAGATGATAAAAACTGTGGGTATGGTACAGCACAGTAGTCTGGAAAGAACAAAGTGGTTCAAAATCTGTCCAGTTTCTCAAAGCGTCAGGTATGGGCATTTGTCATACCAGAGGATACCCAAAAATGTATGATGCTGCAAAGCCAAAGTGATTGGCAAAACGCTTGCAAGAAATGGGTTGGTTTAATTAGGATTTCTTCTGGTTCAGGAGTTTTCTTAAAGGTGAAAACAAAAGAAGCAGTTTGCTGGTTTGATCATTATAACTTGTGCAAACTTCTAGGGGTATTGCAGAATTTGGCAGAAGTATGCTGTGCTTATTTTCAGCTATGATTTTTGCAACTCTCTGGCTCAAGTTGTTGTCTGGAAGTCTTTGCACAATATTTTACTTGTTTAAGAATAAAGGTTATTTGCAAATAACTGTTAAATACATTGGTTTATACAAGTATACATGCAGTATATGCACTCTATGTGCATCCTCATGCTGAACTCTTCAGAAAATAAGAAAGCTGGACTGAGGCCTTCAATCCTTCAGTTCTATTTGAGAGCAATAATCCATATGCCCATTCCTGATGTAAATGCCTGTACACCCTTTTATCCAAGGCTGAGGAACTTTTTCCTTCTTCAGTAGCTCTAGAGACTTGCTATTACCCGCTTGGAAACCTTCCACTTGAAGATAGTAGCCAGAGGTCTGCAAGATACATGCCCACATGCATGTAAATCTTCTTTCTGCCTGAGTCTCTCATTCAGCATCTTGTTCTTAAGTGACATTGAGACTTATCTGCTCAGTCTTGCTTTGAATAAGAGGGAACATGAAGTGTGAGTGCACTTGTGAGTCCTTATCTCAACTTACAGGAAGTGGGAATGTGCACCAGAGGGATGTAAATTACAGACTGTAAATCTCAAAGAATTCAAGTTACTGCAGGAAAGTCTGTCTGAAGCATAAGAGACTTCAGTATTCTTCTAAGAGCTTTCAGAGATTTTTGTGACCAAAACAATCGGACACTCGTGTGTAAAGGGTGGTAAGAAGCACTGAATGTCATAAGCATGAGTTTTTCTGAAGATTCTCTTGCAGCAGCTATAGGATCTATGAAGAGTTGCATCAGAGAAAGGGAGGTTTGCATCCTATATGGAAAATAATGCATTTTGACTGAATTTGGCAGAAGGCACCTTCTTGTTGTGAGACTTGGCATTAACTTAGCACAAGGGAGTCATTAATTTTTTTCTCATGATCCTAGTCAAAATCAGTTGCTTTTTAAATAAGCCACAATTTATTTCTCAGTTGAAAATCATTATAAAACATATGGTTTATCTAAAGGTCACAACTTTGTCAACATTAAGTACAATTTTATCTTCAATAACATTCATTTATGTAAGAAAGCTATCCCTATTTCTTATTTTTATCAAATAGATTAAATCCCAAGGAGAGGTATATCGTGTGGGCTTTACAGAGATAAATGTAGAAATGAGGTCATGTCCTCTTTTTAATTACAATTGTTATTCATTCCTGCAGCACAGGAAAAAGTTACAATTCTAATGAGCTAAAATCCATGCTTAAGAAATCAGAATAACCAAAGGCACTGGGAAAAGTCTTTGGTTACTGTTTTTCAAAGGAAATGCTACATTATCAAAGCCATAGACGCAGTGAATCATTAGGTAGGGGACTGTGGAGGCAGAGGGAAGTTGCTTCTAAGAGGCTTTTTTGTATTTGACCCTCTCACTTTCTGTTTGCTTTTAAAACTTAGAGGTACAGTCATCAAATATCTTGTGATCTTTAGCTGTAGTGAAACCAAAACTGTGTAATATCACTGGAATGCAGGCACTTGCTGAGTTAATCCCATGCCCGTAGTAGCTGTACTCTGTTTCCTCTACTGGACTGCCTTTAAGCCCTTTGAAAGACAACGGGAAGAAAAGACTTTAGGTAGAGACAATGCCAGTGTGCTGTTCTTGAGATATTTTATTATCTTGTGTCTAGCTTGTATCCTGAAACTTTTCCTGCTGTGTGTCAAGACACTAGGGCAGAGTCTACAGGCCTGAAGGCTTGATGCTGGGAGTGTGGTGTACAGGCAGCTGGGAACGAGACCCTGCGTGCCCAGCCTCTGCAGCTGGATTTATGGCTTGGGTGCAGCACTGTGCAAAAGCAGCTATTCAGCTTCATGACTAAGCTGCTAAGCCTGTGAAATGTCTCTGTTGGTTGCACGAGCTGCCTGCAGTACCCGTTAGCGCAGCAGCGTGCACATGTCCTGCAGGCCTCCTGCCCACGTGGCTCTTCTGTGAGTAGTCTCCGCAGGCATGTCCTGTCTGGTGTGACACACCAGCTGCACTTGGGCTCGCCCATACTCAGGGGGATGTCTGAGTAGGTCACTTTCAACCCAGGGATCTCAGTATAGTGGTTTAAACATGTCTAAAGATGCCTATTGCAAATTCGCATCAGTAGGTATTTTTTGTGTCTGTCGTCTTAATGTACAACTGCTTGGATTTCTTTTAACTGCATTACTCTTTTGATACACTTTTGTGAGAGGTGCACATGGCATAATTGCTAGGAATAAATCACATACAACCCCAAATTTCAAAGCCCTCTAGAAATACGAGAAATTTGATGATATGATGAAAGGAAAGTTAAAAGGACATCCTAAACTGTAGTAAATTTGATTTCCACATATGCACACAGTTGCTTCAAGTTGCCATTAGTATCAAGGTATCACTATTAAAAGTTTCATTAGTTTTTACATCGTCTAATTCAACATTTGACTTTTCATTTCAGATGTTGATGAATGCCTTCAAGACAGCAATATTTGCCTTAGAGGAAACTGCATAAATACTGATGGGTCTTACAAATGCACTTGTCCAGAAGGTTTCCAGCAGATAGCGAATAGGGGATGTCAAGGTATGAAATAGCTGTAAAAAATACCTGGATCATTATTATAAATGTGCAAGTTTGTAAGTGTAACTTGTGATATTCACTAAGGAATGCTAAGGAAGAAAAACTCATTTATCATTTGTAGTACTTTCTTACTCACTTTGTATTACTCTCTGTAAATGTATGCTGGGAAATTATTTCAAACAGCTGAAGTCTCAGCCTCTACAACTTGAAAGAGATTCTGTATTAGCACTAACAGAGATAGAGTGCTGTTCTTTTCCCAGGTCTTGGAAACTTTTATTGTAACAGAACCTTCTGTGTGTTATTGAAGCAGTGATGCAACAGCAAGAGCAGTATAGTTAGTGTCAAGTCACATTAGATAAACCTCTCTCACTTCTAAAACACTTGCAGTGCTTTGTGGAGGATGGGTGGGGAGGAAGAGAATGTGTTATCTGAGACTGAGTCAGCCGTTGCCAAACCCAGAAAAATACTTCCCAGGTTTTAGTTCTGAATGATCCCAACTTCGTGTTGGCACAACACCCAGGCATGCCTCACAACTCCATTTTGCCATCCGTTTTTATGAGACAGGAACTGTGGTATCAGAGCTGGAAAGTGAGAGCATGTTCGTGCTCTAAATGACTGTAGGATCAGGACTTTGTTTTGGCTGCTCTCTTATTCACAGTTTAGGCTTGAGCTAAGAGACTGTATTCCAGCTGATCTATGGTGAAGATCTTTAGCAACCAGCAGTAAATTCCCTTTAAAAGTTCTGAGAATTATGTGACTGCTTTCTAATTCCAGAAATGTTGCATTCAGCATACGAAGTGCTGTATTAGACCTTGTTTTAGCAGGTAAAAGAGAATTGATCACAAGTTAAAATCATTGCCAGCTTTGATATCCCTCTATTCTCTTTACTCTGTCATCTAAAGTAGTAGGATGTGGGCTTCATATTTTAAATGGATAAATATAATAAAACTGAAAGCATGTATGAGCCAACTAAGGGACAGACAGTACAGACAGAGAGCTATTGAATTAAACTGGCAAGTTTATCACAGAATGCAGTGTCTGCAAGTTGAATCTGGACTTGAAATTAGGAACATACACTTTGGTAAGGAGCAAAGTTGAAAAGAGTCCAAAACATGAGAAACTGCAGTTTGCTTTTTCAGACTTATTATACTCTATTTACCCAGCGTTGTTAATTTTGTTTTCCTGTCTTTTAATACATCATTCTACCTTGTGTAATCAGCTGGTTCTACTTCCAATATTTTTCTAGCAGTTTTCAGAAACTGACAACTAAGTCTTGAGAACAGTGTAGGTCCTGAGAATACTGCCATATTGTCCTTGTCATTACTGATATCCTGCCCTTCCCAGTTTCCAGGGAGCTTCAGGAAGTAGTTGTTGGTTTGCATTTGTTATGAATTCAAGAGAACTTTATACATGGTGGTGTTGTGTTAAGCACAGAACGATGACTTTTCCTTGGGCACCTCATGCAGATACAGCTTCCCCAAGCTGCCTCTTCCCGTTCTGCACATGGCCATGATTTTAGGACACTAAAGTCTTGAAGGTTTACACACAGGCTAGAATAAGCTTGTATCTAAAGAAAATTCCGTAGTGGATGTCATGGTCTTGAGATGATGGTATTGAAATCATAGTTTCTCTAGTATATGAAAATTACTGTCTACTTTGATACATTTTGGATGGCTGTAACAACAGACAGAATCTAAGCAACAAAAGATAAAGTTAAGAATGAGACATTCTAGTATTGTGATGATGGATGAATAAGCCGCATGTGTAAGTTTTGTCTGTGAATTTGTGTTTAATCTCAGCATGGTACTGAATGCATCTTAATAGGTTTTTGTAAAGCAAAATACAAAAGTGCAATGACAGTGTGAATGGTAATTAATATGAAAGTGATAGTTCCTTAATGAAAGAATGCCATCCTTAAGTTCTGAGGGCAGAATTGGTTGCTAAGCTGAGACATTAATAAAAAAGAAATACTTTTTTTTCAGATTCACAAGTTTGAAAGGTAGTGTTTGAAAAATGCTTTCTAAGTTTAAAAAAGAACCCAGCAAAACAGACAATGATGACAAACTCTCATACAGCAACCTTTATGGATCGTTCCAATTCTCCATTAGCAAAAAAGAACCATTTTGCTTTAAATTATAGAAAATCAGCCTACTTGCAAAGGTGCAAGTCCAAACCTGCTAGTAATATGTGAAGCCAAATGCTCAAGTTGACCAGTGCGCAGGAATCAAAAAGCAGTCAAACGGAGCTGTCTGAGAATTCCTCTAACACAGAAGAAGTGTTAACTAGGATGGAGCTTATGCTGATGGATGGAGCTTATCCCACAAATCACTCTTCTCTCTGCTCATCCTCATCACAGGGAGTTCTGTAGAAAGAATATGCTACATAATGATGCCTATACAGAGTTTGGAAATGATCCCAGGACATTTGGTTGCTCTGGAAAATGAGCCCTATTCGCATGGCTATTTCCGTTGCTACTGGAAATAAAAGCTACTTTTAAGATAAATTGAACTTATGCTTAATATTAAGGATATGATGGTCTGCAAAGCTATTAATGTCTCTGTACTTTCAGATATCAATGAATGTGAGAGATCTGACCTCTGTTCACCTCACGGGGAGTGTCTAAACACGGATGGTTCCTACCAGTGCATATGTGAGCGGGGCTTTTCTGTGTCTGCAGGTGGCCGAACATGTGAAGGTGAGATAACTTATAATAATCCATTCTCATTGATTTGCTGTTATTAGTTGGGTGAGAAGAGTAGTCTTCTACTACTAACTCCAAAATCTGCCACTTAAGGGTCCTTCATTCTTTTTCTTGTAAATGCGTGGTGTGCTATGTTGCTGTTTGAATCATAGGAAGTATAACAGGAAATTTAGAAAATGGGCAGCATAATGGAGTTAATGTTTGCTACAGTCTGTGCTTTACGTTTCTTGATTTTTAGTAATTTTGCTATCTTAACATTGGATTACATTTTTTTGAGCAAATTGGTAAAAAAAGAATACTAACCTAATGATGGCAAAGAAGGGAATTGTATTCTTATGCTGAGATATATGAAACTAGTGGATATCTGTAATAATAATCATAGATAGGAAATTACTTCTATCTTAAGGTAGGAGTGGAAGGAATAAATATATCTAAAATGCATGTAAAGTGTGTTTGCAACTCAGGCTTCTGATTAAGTTTCAGTGGCTAAGATCTTCCTACCATGAATATTTAGGATTATTTAATTTGAAGCATAAGAACATTATCAGCAAGCCTGAGCTTCCTGAATGTTCTCATTGCTGTGTGGGAGACAACAGAATCTTGCTTGTCCAGACTTTCTGTTTTTTAAATATGCAGATTAAGCATCCATACAACAGAAATAACTCCAGTGAGAAATCGTAGTAAAATGCTACCTATGATAGAACTTCAGACCTTTTGAAATGGTAGAAATGGAGTAAATAGCAATAGTTAGATCTTTACTAAAGTGCTAAAGTCAGCTTATTGTTTGTAAGTGTATGCAGGTATGCTTATACAAGTGTCTTTCATATAAGGTTGTAAAAACTACTCCAGTAATAACACTGGTGAAAAGCATTGATCAGGAACCCGGAATTTAACGTGACTAGTGTTTTTATGTGGTTATAGCATGACAATATATCCTGTTACTAATGGAATGCACACAGTTGCTAGTGATGCTGTTCTCCTACACAGAATTTAAAGTAGGAGAATTGTGCTCAGTGATACCAAGAAGCTATGAGGCTTTTTGTGGTCAGTGATGCTGACAGAAAACAAACAATCCCCTAACTGGATGATGAATGTCTGTTCTTAAGGATGAGAGGACTGTTCAGGACAAGAAGCCTTGTGGGCAAAGTTCAGAAAGGAAAAAATTTTATGGTAGTATTTGGACGAGATGCATGCAGAGAAGCACTGAGTAGATGATAGCTCGGTGTTGGAACCTATACGTAGTGGATCTCAAGCATCCAAGAAGTAAGCAACTGTTCTTTCTACCAAATTATAGGCCAGTAAATCCATATGTGATTAGGTTTCACAGGCCAGCTCTTCTCATAGTTCACTTAGGGATAGTGAAAATGTTCGTCCTTCAGTGGACAAGGTGTATTGAAACTTGTTGCATTTACTCCCCCTACTTATACTAGAGGAAAATCAGTATTACAGCATTATTATTTGAGCTGGCACATAACCAGCCATATATTTTATAATGTGATCTCTAGTGAAATGAAATACACTGCTGGCAAGAACTCTGTTATGCTGCTGTAAGGGAATAAGCGCTGTATATTTAGATACAGCGTGACATCAAGCACAATATTTGTGTTTCAATTATTATTGATAACTACAAAAAATCCTGCAATATTTTTACTGGTTTTTTCTCTCTAAACTTTTGCTCTGTTTTGTAATCGTGGCGTGAGTTGAAAGAAACATTCTCTTACTGCCAAGACAAAAGCCTGGTTGAGTAGGCTAGAGAGAGCAAATCTGAGTTACTCCAGTGATTGACGGACGAGGCAGTATTTTGTGATTTCAAGTAATGGGGATAATTCCGAAGCATGTTCATGGATTATTTTGGCAGCATGTATACATTTCACCCAGTGCTTAGGAAGGATATGGTTGGATACCTTCGATTTCTCTGCTAGAAAAGTGGTAGCAGGTGTTTTGCCTCACTGTTGAGCACAGCTGAAAAAAAAAAAAAAGTGTTCAAAGAAGAATGCAGTCTGCTCTAGTAAAAACTAAGGACTTTATTTCAAATCAAAGTTAGGAAGACCACTTACTAGTAGAATTTTAAAAAAAACAAACAGAACGGAATAGAAACACAACTTAAAAAAAAAATCCCAAAGTCATGAGCATCTAATTTTAGGAGGTGTACCAGAAACAACACTCCCTCTGAACCTCTGAAAGTTAATAAAGTAGCACAGTTTCCAGGGAAGGGTTGCTGTCACATACGATGAAATAGGACAAAGTTAATCTCCATCAGAACAAAAAAACCAAACTTGTACTAAATACGAAAAGATGAAATCACAAGATCTTATTTCCAGGGTTGTGAGCAGTTTTGGAACTTTTTAATGAAGAATAAAACAAGTACAAAACCAGCTGAGTGTGCTTTGCGAGTAATTGGTATTGTGTATGGAATACAGATCAGACTTTATATTCAGCACTTGGAAAAGTATTTTAATAACTTGGCGAAGCAAGGGTACTTCTAGTCTCTGAAGCAGCAGCACTCCTTTTCCACCACAATTAGTTTCTCCATTCTGTCATTTTAATAAAAACAACTCTAGAGTTTTGACAAAACTCATTTGAAGGGAGCACTGATGGCATCAGTGTTACTATTTGAAGTGGTGTCAGCTTCATGCAAAATGGCAAGATGAAACAAAAGGAATGTGTGACATTCCAGGTACTGAGAAAGGATGTGGCTTCCAGTCGCAGGAGCTACTGTTCTTTACACTAGGTGCCTCTGTGAATTTAGTTGTAGTTAAGTGAGTGAGAATAACTGTTTATACCATCAGAGAAAGAACCTGAGGAAATTTTCCTGGATTTACACACCTCTCTGTACCTGGGGAGCAGATTTTCCGTATCTCCAGTCTTCTTTTTTTATGAGTTTGACTTGTTTTTTTTTTAAAAAGTTAGAAACAACAACAACATAAAACATTTAAGAACCTCATGTGGTTCAGTTCTGGTATGGAGTTTTTATGGCCACTGACCAAAGTAAACTGAGCAGCTGTGGAGGCTGTGTCTTCTTCCAAGGTGTAGACAAACTTTTCTTGTAGCAGTGACATTCCGCTGCTGCCTGGCCCCAGGCTCAGAGATTTGACTGCGCCAGGCTTTCTGAACTGGAGACTCTCGGAGTTCTCCCTAGTTACTTGTCAAGCTCTCTGGGGTTCATGTAAAGATGGTGTTTTACCCAATTGGCTGCTAGTCAACCATATTGGCAAAACCTCAAGTTAGAGGTTCACTGATGCTTAAGTCAATACTCTGCCTCAAGCACGTCTTCTGTCTCCACATCCAATCCTGTATGTATCTCAGCGGCTCCCTTGAGTTTCTCTCCTTCTACTACAAGCCCCAAGCTTCACTGCCTGCTTCAAAAGGCAGTCCAAAAAAGCTTACACATCCCACGAGAGCTCTCCAACCACTGCTTCTTCCTTTTTACACCCTGTGTGGGTGTTATAGGCAGCCCTGGAAGTCTGAGTATCAGAGCTCTGCTTCCGTAATCACCGTACAGAGCTGTTCTAGGAAGCAGCTCCTCTTCCAGACGCTTTGCCATGTAAGTAGATTTCAGTGAGATCTCAGTATCATACCTGAGGTTGAGATGCCCTCATCTCGTTTGGGTTGGCAGCAAACAGGAACACGGTGTTGAGTTGAATAGTGTGCTTGAGTGCGGACATTTTTTTGCCTTTCCTTGCATCTTGGTGACGTTAGATCAAACAAGTTTTGATTAAAGCACATGGCACTGACTCATGGATTCTGAAACAGGTTGTAATTACAGGGAACTGCTTTAGACGTAGGATATATTAGTTTCGTATTTAGGTTTTTTCCACTTAATTTGTCTCCATGTAGCAAGAGAATCACCACTTACAAACCTCACTCTTTATAGGGTGATTAAAGAAGCAAATGTCCTTTCGGCTGTAAAAAAAGAGTCCTTTGAGTGAACTGTCTAGACAAGGAAAAATATTTGGTGCTTGGACCTTCTCTGTAATATCCCATACATTGAAGATGTTTAGACTGTACTTTTTAAAAACAAAACCGTCTTCTGTGGCTGTATTATATACTGAATTAGGACACTTGCTACAATCACAAGTTTTGTTTCTACAGCTTTTTAGTTGATGACCTTGCGTTTACCTATGAAGAACCACCTGCATGATCCATTGCCCTGTTTCCTTTAACACTTAGCTTTAAAGTAAGTGAAATTCCATAATTTAGGTCATTCCAAAATCTTCAGTAGCAGTTTCTTCTGCTTAGGTTTTTAACAGAGTAATTGTTCTGTGGCTCAGGAACTTTTTTTATTCAACTCATGTAGGCCACTGAAAATGCAAACACTGAGCTGTTGTCTGTTGTCTTAGATTCCTGGCTGTCAATCTACCGTTGTTTACTCATTTTGAATTCCTTTTCTGAATAAGAGATAGAGTATTCAGATTTTTTGATAGACATGTGAAAGCGATGATCACGTGGGACTAAATATTAAAATCAGATATGTTATACAGGTACAGTGCACAGCAGCAAGAAGGAGGGACCAGAAAAACACAACCATAAAGAATTTTTATTTTCTTTCTCCCAATAACTCCACATTCATCTTTTTATAATTTTGTCATTATGGTGACTTGAAAAGGAAAAGGTATAGGTAGTACTTGAACCTCTCACCTTTGACAGCATTTTTAATACAGATATGCTGTGTACTCTAGTTGTTGAATTATTTCTACTAGGGAGAGTTTGTGGTAGACTTAAATTAAGTTTAATATGCAGAAGCCACCCAAAATTTCATATTCAGTTCCTTGAGAATAAGCATACTGGCTATTGTATTCTTTGCCAAATACAAATTACCATTTCTAACATAAATTCTTTCAATATTTTTCCTTTGTTTAATAAATCAAGATATAAAGACTATTAAAATCTTTATTGACAAAACTTACAAACCAAATAATTTTTTCTGCCAGTTCCATCTGCAAGTACTTTTTTAATAATCATTAATGATACTCAGAAATTTTACTTAGATTATGGTGTATGTAGTTCATACATTTTTTGTATGAATTGTGTGTTTTAGCTGAAGGTTGTTAACCACTGAATCAGTTCAGTAGATGTAAGTTTCCAACCACTTAAACATCCTAAAGAGAAATTAAATGCCTTTCTGAGAAAAATGTCAAAATTCCACAGTTTACTCCATTGGTACTGAAATTGTCAGAGACAGTTTTTAACCTATTTAAGAGGTTGTGGATAGTCTCTTATGGCCCTAAAAGTCTGTGTGCAATTCTAAACCTGTTCACACCCTGCCACAGCACATAGGAAAAGCTAGTTTTCAAGACCCCAAAAATGCCTGTCCTTGTGGCATGTGGAAGTATGTGTGGATGAATTTTGAGCACTTGGAGAGCAAGAGGGCAACACAACAGGTAACAGGTGTGGATGGTAATGACATGCTGTTAAATTCTGATAGCTTGGGGGCCTGTGACCACTTGGTTCCAAGACCAAGACTTCCCTTTTGGCTGAGCATAAGACACAATTTAAAAGGAAAAATGTCCTTGCTGAGTGAGTGCTGTCAGGGGAAGAATTTGTAATGGGAAAGCTAAAAATTCTTGTTTTCTCTCAGGAAGCCTGCAAAGTGCCTTCTCAAGAGGATTAGATGGTTTTTTCCCCTTCTGCAATCCAGAGGGTGTTGCAGAGAGAGCTGTGTTATCTCTCTCTATCCTATGCTGGAGAGAAATGGCTCTAACAGACATGTTAGAGCCTTGGGAAGGCAGGGGAGAAACACAGAGGATAAAGAAGCCCTTAGAGGGCAGGAATTTTCCCTTTTTCTCTCTGGGACCCGGTGTGTGAACTGCACTGTTAGGTATTTCGTAAGTTTCTCATGGTCTGGTCTTCTAAATAAACCTTTTGAATTCCTTCCACTGCCTTGGCATTTCTGGGGATACCTGCATATCTTTTTTTACAGAGGTGCATCTTTGCTGACTTCTGAGGTCTTTCTTGGACACAGCTGTGAAGAGCTGGAGGAGTAGACAGGACTATGTTTGAGCCCAATCTCTCCCAAGAGAAAGACACCGAGGAGCAGTGCTGCTCACCGTTCTAAGAAGGCCTATCTCTTTGGCAATGCAGAATTCAGTCCCACCAGCTCTTTAGTTCTGGGAGTGCCTAAGGCCTTCTCTGGAGGTAGAATGATGGCAGGTACCATCACGTGAAGGGCTACTGTAATGTACAGAATTAACCATAATTAATAAGTACTCAGATAAATCAAGAGCAAATCCCTTTATTCCCCATTTAAAATTTAGTTACCCTTTGAGGCACTCTGCAGAAGGCAAGGGGACAGCAACCTTACTTTATGTCATAATGCTTTTTAGGAAAGAAATACGGCAATATTTTCTCTGCTTCAGACTGCGGTGGAATTTAAAAGGAAGAAGGTACTAATCATAGTATCCTTGCAGGTTCCCTTGTTTCAGCTCATGTTCTTCCTTCTGAAAAGCACACCGTGACATCTTTAATGACCACAGATGGTCAGGGCTTTGAGTTTAGGTCTTTCTTTAAGTGGAGATAAAAATAATACATTCCTAACACTTGTCACACACTTACGAAAATAAACCATGATCTGCCACAAGCAGCTTTGCTTCGTTATAGTATAATGGGCAGCTGAGTCAAGGAACAGACTTACTCATGCAAGTAACTCTTACTCCCAAGGCCAGCAAACCACAAACAGGAACTACAAATGAAAGGGACAGTACAGAAAGCATGCAGGCATTGGAATTACTTTGCCTACCTGAATAAGATTATTTGTGTGTGTAAATTTACAGGATTAAAGACAGAAGGCTCAGTCCACAGATATTGACCACTTAGACCATGAAATTCTCTTTTGTGATGGGAGCCAGAATGAGGTCTGTGCAGCAGTTCTGCACAGGGGGAGTATAGCCCTACCCTTGAACTCTTTTTTAGGCACAGTGGGTTCGGTTTCACAGGTGCTGTTGACTGCAAAATACTGCACTGGTAGAATCTGTAAATCAATCAGAGAAATTATTTAAACTATGGCTTCTTTATGTGGTATATATCATGCCATGGTTGGCAGGTTTGGTGAAACAGATGGGTGGAGGCAGTTGACCAAAAACATTATCTGACATATTTCCTGTAAAGTTAACACTGAAACAATTTCTTAAATAGTACGTGTGCAAATTTTTGTGTCTTGTCCTTTGTGTGTTCCTTCCCAAGATGTAGAGGCACACTGCTGCATCTGTTTGCAAAAATGGCCTGTCTGTTAGTTTTCTGCACACTTCACAAATGTCTGCCTTTGGCTGTCACGCAGCCTGTCTGATGTTAAAATTCTTCCTTGCAGATGTGGATGAATGTGCAAATGGCACAGTGTGTGGCAGTCACGGGTTCTGTGAAAACATGGATGGTTCCTACCGCTGCCTCTGTTACCAAGGGTATCAGGACACGCAGGATGGGCAAGGGTGTACAGGTGAGTTCTTATGTGCAAGTAGTCATCGCTGCGAGGTTCAAGGGATCAAAAAGGAGCATTCAAACAAAACTCATTTCAGAAGAGCACTTTTGTTTTCTGTCATTTTTTGTTAAAGTTATACCACTTACGAGTAAAATGAGGTTGAGCTGTGCTTTACTGACTGAACTTTGTGCCAGATGGAAACTTAACTGTGTATCTATTTAATGAGAACCTGCTATTAGGAAAAATGGAAGCCAACAGCAAGTAAGCTGAGGCACTCATTTTATCTCCTTTGAAAAACCCAAGAAACCTCACTGTTTCTGCATGTCAGAACCATTCATAAATATAAATCATAATAGGTTGAATTTAATACTTCAGCCTATTCAAGTGCACCATCTGTTTAGTCCCTTAGCTGAATAACCGGGACCCTGCGCTACCCCTGCAGGAAATAGCGTCTGGCATTTCCTGCCAGAAATGCCAGGCTGAATTAGATGGCACCTCCTTAGGTGCACGTATTTGAACAGATCTTAACACTGGCTTCTAGCTCCAGGAAAGACACCTATCACCATGAAATTATGTGAGATTTTTGTAGATGTGTAAATACTGCACATTTCTTTGTGAGTACTAGGTTTCCAGATCTGTTGTTAATAGTGATGGTTGGACCTGAGAACCATCTGAGGCAGCACAAGTTTCTAATATAAAATTAATACCAGATCAAGGAAAGGTATTCATTAAGCAATTTCTTCAAGCCAGAATCAGGATGAAACACATTTACCAGGAACAGAGACTTAAACGGAATGCCAAACAGAGAGGAGGAGTTAGAAGTTTTACAGAGTGTTTGTATGCATTTTCTAATATATTAAATAGTTTTGTTACAAAATTCTTTATGCCATTTGGCACTTAGCTTGCAACACACCAATGTATATTTTGGCATGCTGTAACTTTTCATGGAAGAAAACAAATGAAGCAAAGAAAGGGAAAAAAAGGGGGAAAGGAAAAAATGGTTTGGAGCTAAATTTAGTTTTGAGTTCCTAGTGAAGTAAAACCATATAATAATATATTAATTTATTTTTTTCTTGAATACACTATATAATATGAAATATTCTTGTAAATTTTGAAGCCAGTTATCTACAAAAACACTTTTAGAAAAAAGTAAGTCTCTAGTTCCTGACTAGGCAGTGTTCCCCAAAGACAACTTGTTCCTTATGAGAGAAACCTAGTAAAAAGGTAAAGAAGAAACCACACTTCTGAATTGTGATACAGATCTTATCATTTACGGATTCTGTCATTAGTCAACAAAGTAGATTTTCAGATGTCCACTTTAGCAAAAGAGAGTAAAGTTAAATAATCCTGACAATATTTGGTAATCCTTGCTTAAATACAGACAACTCTCCTATCAATCAGGCAAGCATTTCAGAGTAGACTAGTTAGCAGGTGTATGGAATCCAAGTTAAAAATATGTGGAGTGAGTTTTGCAGTGTTTGGCAGGGGCCCCTGGGTGACCTGTGCAAAACTCTTCTGGGTTCCAGAGCAACCTGTGAGGCAATGCATATGAGAGGCATATGGTGGCACTGGGGCTGGGGAATTCACCGATTTGTTTTTCACAAGGAAAATGGGATCTTGAGGAGGAAAATTAATTCTCTTTTTATAGCGCAGTCTGAATCACACCAAAACCTCTTAATTGTGCTCCTCGAGTTTAGTGAGAGTTTGATATTAGGTCAAGAAAACAAATTAAATTAGTCTGAATATTAAATGCCAAGAAGAGGATACACTGAAAAGCAAGTATTTAAAAATGAGAAGCACCCAAAAAAAAAAAAAAAAGTGTTCTGATCTACAAGTAGCACCTAATCATCACTAATAGCCTACAAACTGTCACTTTCAGGGACCTTTATTTCAAAAGACTGACTACTTGTTTATGAATCCACTTAGGTAGTAGTGAGTTTTTAATCCTTCCCTAGAGATCACATCAGTAATCTGGCAGACAATATTGGCAGAGATACAGCAGATAAAAGAACAAACTGTCAGTAATAGGTCTCAATTTATGGTTTGGATTTTTTTCCCCAGATGTGAATGAATGTGAAATGTTGAGCGGAGTATGTGGTGAAGCCCTCTGTGAAAATGTTGATGGTTCTTTCCTGTGTCTGTGCTCTGATGAAAACCAGGAGTATGATCCAATGACCGGACAGTGTCGCTTCCGTACCTCACCAGGTAAAATGCGAGTGGAATTTTGCGTGCTTGCCATTATTTCCACTGCATATGTAACCACGGGAAAGGCGAAGTTGGTTTAAGTGCTGGTGTTGCTTTAACAACAACAGAAAAATTTAAAACTTTGTCTTCTTGGAAGTGCGTGCATGAGAAGAGGTTTTTCTAGGACAGAATATTTAATCAGTGAATGATTAGCAGTGAAAACATAGCAGAAACACCTTCTAAATGTTATATATCAACAGACTTGGCAATAATGATGAACTGTTACAGCAGTTAAGAGTAAACAGTCCCTTGTTTGCTGTACTGTAATAATGAAATGTGATATGGAATCAAGTCTGTGGCCTGAGTGATTTTATTTTTTGTTCAAATTTTTACAAGCATCCACCCACTAGTATGCTTGGGCAATGTTTAAGGAAGCAAATTTTTAAAATCAGAATTTGTATATAGTGATATCCTGTTAGCATTATCTAGGATTAACATAGGTCCTAAGAAAACATAATGGGGAAGGCAAAAACCCAAACCACTAAATTGTTGACAATCTCCTGCTGTTGTCAGTCACTCGAAGAGTGACTGTTTGAGGGTCCTTGCCTACTTTACTCCTTTTTTCCCCACTAGTCCATTTTACTTGATTTGTGAGGGTTTTTTATCAATTGTTTTTTGTGTTAAAAATACTACTGGAAAGCTGCCTCCACAGTTCTACACTGATCCATTTTGGAGAAAGGAACAAGCTCTCAATAAGGATCAACAGAGTACAAGAAATGAAAAGATTTACTTCCACAGCTTTTTTTCTCCTCCAGAATGCAAATCTTGGTATTTTTTCTTATTTTGTTCTTACACTACAGGCTGATCTAGCTTCTGGAAAGCTTTGGTTCTAGTGCCAGGATGCAGACTCTACAGTTTCCAACGTTGTGGCTATTTTCTCCTGTCACTCATGGTCTTCCAGACTTGTAAACAAGGCTGAAATATCCATGACCTAATTGTAACAAGTATTTAGATCAGCGAAGGTAGAGCTCAGCAGCACTCAAGTAATTGCCTGTGACACAATCATTAGTAGCTGATTGACAAACGTTTTTGTCCTGTGAGGGGGTAGTACTCGGGAGAGTTCAGCTACTTGATGAAACAAAGCCAAAGCTAAAAAATGAGTAGAGGACGTGAGCCATGAAGTCCAAAGAACATTTGAGCACATACCTTAACATAACTGTGGGGAGGAAGCGGATGAAAAATACAGCGTGACTGATTGTACTGTCAACAGATGGGTACTCTACTGTCAGTACTAACTCCATTTTGTTGTCAGCAGTGAACATAGCTTTGCTGTGATCAGTTTGGAAAGAAAGTATTCCTCCTTCCCCTCCAGCCTTCATCTGGCTCTAACAGAACCCGTGCTTTATCTTTGTCTCTTCTCTGATAAGGTCATCAAGGGGTAGATTGGAAGGATCTAGTGTTAAGTACTTTACACTATATGCTCTTGAACTAGAATAAGGCAAAGTGGCTGTACCAGCGACAAAGATCTTACTATTCTCTTTTCTTCCAAAGTAAAAGGAGAAAAGACTGCTGCTAGTTCTTAAAAACTATTCTTGCTGCAGAGAGTGTTAGATAACCACACATCCTCTGCCCTTGACGAGCCACATACTCAAGTTGGGCGTGGTGCTTTGGGAGCTCCTGTGGTACATGTGGACATCATCTGTCAGTATCAGCTTGCACCTGCCTATTTTCAGGAAGGAAGAATTTAATCTTCATTATACTGTTGCAGATATCTGTCGTTCAACGTGATTTACTCAGCTCTGGCTTATTTCTCGTTCTGTATTTCTGTGCATAAAGAAGAGTTTTTTCCAGCTCTTATGAAGTGCAAATAGGTGAAGTTTGCTCAAATGTTACTTTAATTTGTGACCTTTCTTCCATGTCGTTAAAGGCTGTTAGATTTGTGGAGTGCTGTGTGTTAACACTTTTCTTATCATTAGGGCTATTGAGACATCCTTTTATTTAGATTTCACTTGCTGTAAATTTATCTATTGTTAGCTGTGTCTTGAAACAATCTTAACAGTGTACATATCAGGAATTCAAGCCCATATTGTCACATTCCAGTCAAAAAAAACTACAAAAAAAGTAATTGTGAAAGGTTTGATTGTCTCATTCCCCTCCTCTCCAGCCTGCCATCCACAAAGTGTAGGAAATGCTTCAAAAAGAAGCTTCTTGAACTAAATCAGGTGTGGTGCCATGACCGTTTCCCAGGGAACCTGTTCTGGTACTCAAAGACACTCAAAGGGTGAAGAACCTTTCTCTAATATCCAACCTGAAGATCCATCAGTTCTACATGTTTTGTGTTTTTTTCAGATCAAAGTGTTAGCAGGATAATATTAGACAAACACTTCAGTGTATGCTGAAGTCCAAGCATATACTAATATTCAGACTATCCACTGAATCCCATATTACTAGTGTACGTTTTTGCATCAAACATATGCAAAAGCATATTGTTGGATCAAGGCTAGTCTAAGGTATATAAAATTATTTCTAATAAATACTTCAGATTTCAACCATTCAGCAACTATACAGAATTTCTCATATAGGCTGTTGTATCAAGAATATGATAAAATTACATTCCCGTACTAGCATATTTTAGGTAGACAGATATTGTACATTTTCTAAAAAAAAAACTGAAGAAACAATACAAAAAATAAGTATCCATTTCCTATTATATTTTTTCAACATACCTAGTGAAATCACTTTCAAAACCAACCTTTTTACTAAATGGTTAATAATCTATGAAAGAGAAATTATAAGCCTGTAAACACAGACTGGTCTTGGTTTAAAAAAAAAAAAAAAAAAAGAAAAAAGATTTGTGTCTCATTTGCCTCATTTGCTTTCCAAACATTCATGACGCCTGCTTGACTAACCCTCAGTCACAGCTGTGTAAACAACAGCCATTTAAGCTGCTGAACAGATAATGGGAGGAGAAATCAACACATCATATGTAAAATGGGAATAAAAAAGGACATGAGACTGTCTCCCCTTCTCATAGGGCAGCTTCTGGTGTTCTTTCTCTGGTAAAAAGGATGAAAACTGCCATGCTTTCTCTCCTTTTGAAAATTTGGCTTTGATTCAGTTAGACAGTTGGCAAATGGCCAAGGAAAATGTATGATTTGGTGTCTGAAGTACTGCTCTCTCACCTTGGAATGGCAGATTTCATCTGCATTTCTGTGCCATGATGGTCTTAACGTAGTTCCTGTTGGATAGCAACTGATACCACAAAACCACCTCAATTGATGCAATTCAGAACATTATGGAAAATTGTAATTATCTGATGCGGGTTGACCACAGGCTAAACTAACAAAGCTGAAATAAGCACCCAGCTGGGTGTTTCTTTGAATGTACAACTTAGTTTTATTGGCAAAACTGCAAAGGAAAGTTTGCCTTGTAGGTGGCAACGCTATGCTAAATTTGAATAGAGGTGTCTACCAGTCCCTCAGCATCCCAAGACTCAAGTCACTTTTCTGAGGAAACTAGAAATAATTCCAATTGTCAGTTTGGAATTTGGAGCCAAAAGAACTATTACTTACGTTCATACCATTGAAGTGCAATCCATACTGTCATTTGTAAACCTGCTTTCCTCAAAATAGATCTAGTATTTTCATGCTCAGTAAAGTTGCCTTGCTCCATTTGCTTGGGGGAATGTGGGTGGGCAGTGATAATAGGACTAAAGTAGCTAGAGGTGTAGTTCATTTAATTCCTTCAGCATTTGTTGGACAATCACTATCTTCAAGCTCCCACCTCACAATCATTATCTTTTAAGTGGTATTTTTGAATCACAGAACTGTTTAGGTTGGAAGTGACCCTAAGATCATCAAGCCCAACCATTAACCAGCACTGCCATTTTTGTCACTAAACCACGTCCCCACATAGCACACATTTTTTGAGCGCTTTCAGGGAGGGTGACTTGAACACTTTTCCTGGGCAGCCTGTTCCAATGCTTGACCACCCTTCTGTGGACAAGTTTTTCCTAATATCCAACCTAAATTTCCTCTGGAGCAGCTTGAGGCCATTTCCTCTCATCCTTTCATTTGAGACATGGCAGAAGAGGCCAAACCTCCCATCACTACGATATTCCAGGTAGCTGTAGAGAGCGAGAAGGTCTCTCCTGAGCCTGCTTTTCTTCAGGCTAAACAGCCCCAGTTTCCTCAGCTGCTCCTCTTAAAACTTGTACTCCAGACCCTTCACCAGATCTGTTGCCCTTCTCTGGAAATGCTTTGACATCTCATTATCCTTCTTCTACTGAGGGCCCCAAAACTAAGCACAGGATTTGAGGTGTGGCCTCACAAGTGTCAAGTACTGGGAGATGGTCTCTGCCCTGGTACTGCTGGCCACACTATTTCTGATACAGGCCAGGATGTCATTGACCTTCTTGGTCACCGCTGGCTCATGTTCCACCAGCTGCTGACCAGCACTCCTAGGACCTTTTCCACCAGGCAGCTTTCCAGACACTTCCCCAGCCTGTAGTGCTGCATTGGGTTGTTGTTGCCCAAGTGCAGGACCTTTGCATAACTTCCTGACATCCTTGTAGTCCTCCAGAGTTACTCTTCCCTGGTTTCAAGGGTGATTCACCTTTTTTCTGAGTTCTAGCCAAAGTTCTCTGTTCAGGCAGGCTGATCTTCCCCTCTCTCTTCTCTTTTACCACATAGGTATGGCCTATAGCACCTTTAAGAATTCTCTCTCTAAGTACGTCCAACCTTCCTGGATTCCTTTACCCCTCAGGACTGCCATCCAAGGGATTCTCCTAAAGAGGCGCAAGTCTACCCTCTGGAAGTCCAAGGTGACAGTTCTGCTGGCAGCCCTCCTTACTTCTCCAAGAATCAAAATCGTTGTAGTTTTCTGATTGCTTTGGCTAGAACAGCCTCTGACCATCACATCACCCACCAGTCCTTCTCTGTTCATAAACAGCAAGTCCGACGGGGCACCTCCCCTGGTTTGCTCTCTCATCAGCTGTGTCAGGACGTTATCTTCCACATACTTTGCAAACCTCCTGGACTACTTCCTCTCTGCTGTCTTGTATTTCTAGCAGACATCAAGTAAGCTGAAGTTGGCCACAACAAGAGCCAGTGATTGAAAGACTTCTCCCGACTGCTTATAGAAGATTTTATCTCCCTCTGCATTCTGGTTGAGTGGTTTGTAACAGACTCCCACCAGAATATCTGCCTTGTTGGCCTTCCCCCTGATTCTTACCCATAAACACTCAACCCTATAGTCTTCATCATTAAGTTCCAGACAACTGAGACAGTCCCTAACATACAGGGCTATCCCACCACCTCTCCTTCCTTGTCTATCTCTTCTGAGGAGTTTATAACCATTCATTGCAACACTCCAGTTGTGTGAGTCATCCTGCCATGGCTTGATGACAACAAACATGCTATAGTTTTCCTGCAGCACCATGAAACTAACATTTGCTGAAATAGCATCTGGAAATGTGCTGTCATGCAGGTATAAAATAAGATTCTGATTCTTTCCTGGATACCTGCATTGCCTGAGAAATGTCATATGCCTGGCTTATTGTGCAAGAACCTGAAGAGAAATGAATGAAATCTCGAGGAATTGAAAATCGGCCAGCATGCAATAATTTTTAGTAGGTTTTTTGTGAGTTAGACATTTGTTAAGTGTTAAGCATAAAGAATTATTTCCCTAGATAAAAAGGAAATGGACTAGTCATCTCAAGATTTATCTAAAGTTCCTAAACAAAGTTTTGGGTTTGATTAATAAATGTGAGCATATGTAATTTTAGAACTTGGTGACTTTATTGATGGCCTGAAAAAAGTTGTTCATATCAATCAAGTGTGAATAACAATTTTATGTGGTAGTTCCCACTTCTGAGCTCTTGATGAAAATTTCTGTGAAGTGCAAAGTTAGGTAGACAGAAACTGCAAATACAGAAGCTTTAACTAGGTATTTTTTTTCAAATTCGCTTCTTAGTGTACTTTAGGAATGCCTATTAATAGGGTCTTTTATTGGATCTATGGGACAGACTATTTTGCCTCTGGTCCGTATAAATATTGAGAGGACCTACTCAGCTGCTTAAGGCAATAAATCTGACTTCTTGGCTGGATGCCTATTTAAAAGTAAAACACAGAGTCAGTTAACTTAACATCTGCATTATATTCCTCTGCTTACCATGGAGTCAGTAAGTTATTTTTTCCAAAAATCATGAAGTGCCTTATATTCAAATGTGGAACATGCTTTTTTCCCCAGTGAAATTAAAAGGAACTGTAAATGCTTATTCTTTTGAAAACTGTGTCTTTTTCAGTTCATGCCTTAGCTCCTTTATCTGAAAAATTAGATTGTAATGTTTGCTTCCCTCTGTGAAGAGCTTCTAGATTCATACGTAAAAAGCACCATGTCAGTAGGTGGGTATGGTTGTTAGGTAGTGGAACATGAGAGCAGGTACTTCAGGCATTGCTTGAAAATTACAGAAGTGCAAAGGTGTAGGGATCCCTTTGCAATCAAGCTGGAGAACAGGTCTGAAAAAGCCAAAGGAAGGTTATCAACTTCCATCATTCTTTCTAAGAACTAAAAAGTTAAACCAAAGTTTGTACTTAAGCATTTTCTTTCCTGCTCTTCTCATTCTCCTGTAAGACTTATTCATATCATGTGTTGTCTTGTGTGATTTATGTTTTCTTTTCTCCTTTAGAAATGCCAAGAGAGACTGATCAACATGAAGATGGAAAGAAGGAGTGCTACTACAATCTGAATGATGCTAATTTCTGTGACAACGTGCTTACGTCCAATGTAACCAAACAAGAATGTTGCTGTACCTTGGGTGCTGGCTGGGGTGATAACTGTGAAATCTTCCCATGTCCTGTCATTGGAACTGGTAAGAGGGGGCCTCCTGTCCCTTTGCAAGCTTTTGAAGCATTGTGTTTATGTTAACAGTACCGTGCTTTTGCTTTCAGAGAAGGCTTGCCCATTAAATCCCGTAGTCTGTAGTATTCAGTCATGATTTATCCGTGGGAACCTTCCATGGAGGAAAGGCTAATAAGAATAATTCTTACCTGGTGTAAATCCACTGGCTTTTCCACTGGCTTCTCTGCAGTTGCTCTAGGGATAAGAAGAACCTGTTACTGAACAGCATTAACTCCAACTGATTTTAAGGAAAGCTAGGTTCTCACAGAGGCTTTTTGCAGATGCTATGGTAACATGTTAGATTTTTTTTCTACAAGATGGAAAATGAAGGTAAGGAATACAGCATTTTTGAGTCTGCAGCTATTCTTTGTAAAGCTGTTTCTACAGCATTAGGAATTACTCCTCTATAACCTTAGTTTTACATTTTGCTAATTCTTGAAAAATTCAGGTGATCATGTTGTCAGCAAACCATTTTTTAACCTCTAAATAGTAAATTAGACAAAAATAACCATATGATATTTGTGACAAATATTGAAAACAGTACTTGAAACGTAAACAGTGATGGCTGAAATTCAGAATCCAGCTGGAAAAAATCACATAAGAGAGAACATGTGTAAAATTTTTGAGATAAAATGCTAAAGATTACAAATGCATCACTATGTTTAATTCCTGTTTCAACTATACCTTCGAGTTGGTGAAACTGAAGTGAAACGCATAACAAAGAAGGGGCCTCCCTGCTTTGATAGGTTTATTTGATTCTGTATAGTCTTCAAGACACTTGAAATAATTTCCCTCTGTAATCCACACCATGTTCTCCTGTTGCAGTCAATTAGTGTTTTTCCTATATAAGGACTGAAGAATGTGAACAGAGGTTTGTATCCCAATCGGGGTATGTCTGGATTACAGCTTGCAGTATAGCTCAGAGAGGCCCTTGCTAACTTTAATTAAGTTAATTTGGCTACTGGTATTGTTATAGCTGCAGTGCACCATGAAATCAAGTAAGGTCTACATTCTCCTGCCTAGGAGCAAGAGAAATGAGTTTGTGTGGAGCTCTGTGATGCTGTGGGTACCCTAGCTAGCTTTCTCAAGGCTAGCTTGGCAAAAGGGGAGCAGAGGAAAGTCATGCTGTATAATTTAATATGCCCTGTTTAGCTAAGGGTGTGCATGATGATTGCCCGATAGATGAAAATAAGACAGGTTTCTCAAAATACTCTGAAACACATAAGTAGCACATACATGTGTGAGTACCTTTTTCTTAATGACATAATTTTTTTGTTTTCTCTCACTCCCAGCTGAATTTACTGATTTGTGTCCTGAAGGAAAAGGTTTCATTCCCTCTGGAGAATCATCTTACGGGCTTCTTGCTCAGAATTACAAAGGTCAGTACTGATTTGTATTAAGTTTAATTATTTGAGTTCTGGTAGTTGATTGACTAGAAATGTGATCAGTAATGTAAACATACTAATTCAACTCTTATTAGTTGATAAAAATACCTTGTGATATGAAAGATTACTTAAAATCATCATTTGACAGATTGTTAAGAATGTCAATTACACAGTCTCTGTAATATTCTGGTTTAATTTATACTAAGTGCTATAAACTGTGAGAACAGGTGCTGAGAACACAAACCTCAAATACTCATTTACATATGAAATACAAAGCCAACTCAAATTTGTAAAAAGGTGTATGGGGAGTTGGGAGAGAGAAGAAGACTTCTGTTAAACATTAGGACTACAAGGGAGAATTAATATAAAACCCGAAGAGAAGTTCAGCAACAATGTTTTCAATACAGCACTTCATAAAATAAGTATTGAACAAAAAGTGGTAGAGAAATAAGAGGGATAGAAGTTGGTGGATGTGAGTGGGAGGGAACTGGCATCACCAAGAAGGAAAAGTGAGATCAGTGGAATCCCTTTTCAGGTTTAAGAAGTATCCATCAATATTAATAATTTGAGAGATCATTTTTCCTTGGCGTAAGCACACTAAATTTATGTTAACTAAAATAAAGTCAACGAATTATCTTTTACATAACAGCTACAGAATCTGTAGAAAAGCACACATTTTATATATTTGTTACTATTGGAATGACTGTTTTACCAATCAAGAAATAAATACAGCAAATACTGTGTGTTTGTGTCACATAAAAATGCAGTAAAAAATACTATTTTTTAAAGACCTTAATAGAGGCAGAATCATAGAATTTTCAGGGTTGAAAGGACCATGGAAGACCATCTAGTCCCAAACACCCCTGCCATGGGCAGGGACACGTCCCACTAGAGCGAGTTGCTCAAGGCCTTATCCAACAGGGCCTTGAACACTGCCAGGGTTGGGGCATCCCCAATATCACATGGTTGATAGATAAGCATTTGTCAGACTTGCTTCTAGCTAAATAATTAGTCTGTCAGACTTAATTGTGAGAGATGAAAAAGAAAGGTGGAAAGATTTTTGTGTTTTTTTTTCCCTAAAGGTTATTATGTATACTTTTTTAAACTACCCTTACTCACTGAGTAGGACACTATTAAGTCAATTTTCCTGTTGAGTTAGTGAGTAGACCATAGTTGAGTTCAGTTCTCTGTCCTACTAGTACTTTTTTGTGTTATCCGCAGCAGGTGCTTCTTTGCACTTGTAAATTGCATGTGACATGGAAAAAATACCAAAGGCACTAATATATAAGTTTATAAGGTACTAATACCCAGATTCATTCAAATTAAAGTGGGCTTTTAAATGGGGTGACTCCTGTAAGACTCCACTCTCTGGAGGTTGCGTTGTCCAGCAACTGGGAATAAAGAACAAAGTGCCATTTGAGAGACTTACAGTTTTCATCTAGACAAGTCAGAACATTGTCACAGAGCTCATCTCAAAGGATCTGATAGTCTCTGAGAGTATTTTTGTGCAGGGGTTCTTTCAAGGGTGTTGTTTATCTCTACAGTTCTAAGATTTCTGTATATATTCACAAGGGGGGTTTGGGACATGCTGTGTGTGCAGTATGTCCAAATGTCTCAGACAAAATATGTGTTGTTTTTGTGCTACCTCAGGGTTGATAATATCTCTAGCTACTATAAATATTGAAATGTGGACGTAGTTCATCTAGAAATATCTTCCACAAATCCTTGCCATAATCAGACTTTTTCTGCCTTTAGTAAATATATTTTGTAAAAACCTTAGGAATGACACAAAGGACAAATACTAAATGAATAAGTAACTTTTAGTAATGTGATCTTTCTCTGTTACACTAACTCATATGTTCCTGTTGCTTTTGTCCACAAGCTTCTGCTTGTAGGAACAACTCCTGTTTTCTTAATTGGAATTATCTGTCAGAAGTTAACATACTCAGCCAGCCTCTCTTGACTCTGCATCCAGGCTTTCGCATTTTTCTCCAGACACAAAATCCATGTTCCACAGGAAAAAGACAGATGTGTACATTATGTTTCTTATTAATGTTTGCATTGTTCCTGCTGCTAAACAGTCAAAATATTTAATCTTTGTAGCCACTTAGTGACTGGAAGAGTGGCTGTAAAAATAAATAGTTTTATGGACCTTTCAATTCTTCTGGAAAAAGTAAGCATCTGAATAATTCACCATTAAAACTGCTGTACAGCTGGAAATGACAGCTTTGGGCTAAAGTCTGTGTTGCCCCAGAATAAATGGGGAGTAAGTCTATAGAAGACAGTGGATTAAGACAATTGGTTTTGAGAGAAGAATTACGTACTTACACTGTGCTTTTTATTGCCATTTTTAATACCAGCCTAGCTTTAATAGACTATTCTAAGTAGGTCTAGCAAATGAAAAGTAGGTTGGAAAAAAGGTAGTGAATGGAATTCCAGCAGTAACAAATACATAAATACAAGATTGGGAAAAAATGTGTACAACTGTGAAAAGCTACATATGAGCTGGCATATATTTTCCGTTAAACCTTGCTGAAAACATTTAGCCTCATTTGATTCTCTTTGTCAGCTGTCACTAGTTCTATAGTATTTGCAGCCTTATATTTAGCAACAGTCACAACTGGTCCTACATGGTGGGAATTCTGTACAGAAATTGTGTTTTGAAAAATGAAGCCACAAGTGGTGCAGATATGAAGGTTTGCTGCCATGCACAGCGGAGTCACCAAACTGTATGGAAAGAGGAGATCAGTCACAAAGTCTATCCATAAGCATAACTGCTTAGTTTTGTAATCAGATGGTGTGCTTAAATTAGATCCATGGTGGGAATCCCTTTGGTAAAGCAAATTATACCGGAAAATACAGGCCATATTCTTCATCTCTTTTGGCTGGAGCTAACAGCAGTGTGATACCAAAGGAGAGAAAGGGTAACTGCAGATTCTTCCAGTCTCTGTCTGCCACAGGACTTAATTCTGACATGGGAAAGGGAAAGTAATGATCCACCAGTTTTTCCTTTTCCGTTCTGGCTACAAGTGCACCATAGGCTTTTCCACACCAGTTGTTTGGGTTTTTTTCCCTGTGGATGTCTGTGTTCCTGGGACTCTCTGTTTAACGTGAACTCTGCTTGAACAGAGAATCATATGGGATTTATTCCATCTTGCTCCTCTACGTGGTATCATAGTAACGATGGTAACAAAGCCTTTAATGTTTTCTCCCCAGATGCTGATGAATGCCAACTCTTCGGACAAGAAATCTGTAAAAATGGCTTCTGTTTGAATACGCAGCCAGGCTATGAGTGCTACTGCAAACAAGGCACATACTATGACCCTGTTAAGCTCCAGTGCTTTGGTAAGTTTATTTAAAGTGGTCTTGTCAGTATAATGGTATGCAGATGGGCAAAACAAGCAGACTTGTACAGCGGGATTCCCATCACAACTGTGGTATTCCCAGCAAGGGGAGGAACACCAGGCCTTTGAACTCCTGTAGCAGCTTTTTAAGATGCATTGGGTCATTTCCCTTCCCTTCTGCTTGGCTGGTCAGAAATTCTGGATGACATGGCCATGGCATGTGGAGCAGGGTTTGCTTTATTTGTTTCCTTTTTCAGCAAATTACTCCCAGGAGTTTGCATCTCCAAAACAGCTCCTTGTGCTCCTTTGAGTGCATAGTCAAGAGCTGGTGCCAGCCTTTGTGAAGGCAGCTCAAGGTAGTCAGAGGGTGCTCCCTCCTTACGTGCACACTGCTGCTTCACTCTGGTGAGGTGCAATTTAGCCTTCTGTTCTTTGTATGTGGGGTGAGCAGTTGAAAACCTGTATGTTGAAGCTCACCTTTCATTTGGTAAGTGTCCCAGGTTTACTATATTAAATCAAATTAACACTTTTTTTTTTTCTTTCATAGACAGATATTTTCCATATAGGAGTTAATATGCAATGCGAAATTGTAGTTGAGGTCATTGATAAGCCCAACCTTAGTCTGCACAACCTTGTACTCCTTTTGTTCTGTTACTCTACTGAAAATTATTCAAAATCATGACCCTGGATTTTGCTTTGTAAGCAGAAAACCATGTATAATGTGCAGAATAGCATAATGAAAGGAAGTAATTTTTGCAACTGCAATAAGAGAGCCTTTCACCTTGGAATTCTATGATTGTTCTTTAGAAAGGGTGGGAGTTTTACTGATTAAATGTAATTTCTCTGAAGTGGTCTTCTCTTCCCTTCAAGCCAAATTTTGGCTTTTCCTCTCCAAGACAAATTAGGGAATATAACTACTGTGGCTGGGTAAGGTGATCCCTTTTCCTGACAAGCTCAGAAAAAATCTCTGAGAGTATGCCCACCTCTAATACCTGCTGGTACTGTTCTAAAGGGATAGGAATGTGGGAAGCATTTGCAGCTATGCAGGATGCAGGGTATGCCTGGCACTCCAACCCTCCCAGCAAGCCTCCTCATCCTCCTTAGTACTTCTCCATTGTACTTGAGGATTAGAGGTCAAGATCCTGCTGATCTGTCTGTCCTTCTCCGTGGGCATAGGCAGGATTTTATTGTCAGCAATTGGTATTTGTGGTAATTAACAGAAGGCAGGCAGGGAAATCTGTTCCTAATTAGGTAAACATTAACATAGAGTAACACAATGCAACTACTTTGTGCTGGCTCTCCTTGATACATTTCCTTCCATTTTAAAGACACGGATGAATGTCAGGACCCAAACAGCTGTATTGATGGCCAGTGCATTAACACAGAAGGATCTTACAACTGTTTCTGTACACACCCAATGATTTTGGACGCAACAGAAAAGCGATGCATCAGACCAGCAGATTCGAGTGGTATGATCCATTATACATATTACTGAAGTGAGTACACCTCTACGAGGTGGTGCTGACATGGCTACAGGCCCTAAGTCTAAGCTTAGACTGGGTTATCCTTGGATGAGCCTGTTCTTCTAGGGGATTTTGGAAGGCAGTGCTTGGACCATCATCTCTTGATCCAGAAGGCATCATGATGTAGGACTCCACAGTGCTCCACTCTGCCAGTGCAGACAGGACATGATGGGAAGTATTATGAGATTCAACTCAGGCTGAGGGTTCTTCAGCCCAACCTCACCCCAGTTCACCAGCTCTGTGTCTGCCTTGTCCAGCCTTGTAGGTAATGAGACACAGCCCGCTTGCTGTCTCAGTAAGGCTGGAGTTTGGCTGCAGGCTAGGTCTGGAGATTCAGTTCTACCAAAGTAAGGAATAAAACCAGGAATGACAGGATGTAGGAGGAAATAGCTGAAACTGTATGTGTGCTTTCAATTGGTTAACACTGAGGGTACACTGAGCTCGAGTGGCAGGCTGCAGCATCGCTGTTTAAGTGATGGTTTTGCATGTTCTTTTAATTTCGGTAGACACAGATTTCAGAAAAAATGTTAGATATTATGAAATTCTTAAAAGCATCTCAGAAATCTAGAGCATTATGCAGTCTGCACAGCTTTGTCTATGCCACACACATCTTTGAAAGAAATGTTACAATGGGTTTGATTAATACTGGCACTGTATAGCCATAAATCCAGACCTCAGGCCCCTGCAACTTGCAGTGCATTTTCCTGAGATGCTTCTGTGAAAAGAAGTGGGAATAGAGACTGAATGCCTGTTTTAGTCATTCCAAATTATAAGGCTGATACTTTTGAGGAGTATTGTGGTCATCCTGTTGCCTGGAACTGTGAAAGAACCCCACAGCATTTCTATTGTTCAAACTTCAGTTAAACAAACCAAGAGCAGGATTCTCCTTTGGGTTCATCTAGGGTGTGAAGAGAATGCAAGGCCCTAAAGGGTCTTCCGTCATGCGACATTCAGGCTGACACAGCAATGGTCATCTCACCCAGCACAAAGCACTCAAGCCTTCTATCACTACTGGCAATGTCCTCCCTCACGCAGAGGAGGAGGGGACAGGCTGGTTCCTTTGCTGCCAGCAAAACTTGGATTTGGTTGCAGAGATCCACTGCAGCACTTCACTGCACGTTCTGGCAAGTTCTTAGTAGAATAGGTATCTAAATGGTGATCACCTTTGCGCTTTCAGAACTCAGTTTTACTCTTGAGTGAGGTTTCAGTTCTGTACTCACCCATGCATAATGTAAAACCACAGTAAATAGATATGCACAGACAAAACAGAACCTTGGTTTCTGACAAAACTTATTTTTCACTCTGTGTTGGAACAAAATCAAAACCTTGCAGATGTCTTTACAAAACAATTGTGCTGAAGTTTTTATGTTCCAAGTGGAAGGATAAGTTTACAGTTCCTCTCCCTCCGATCAGCAGTGACCAAAGCTTGCTAGGAGTAGGAATGATTCCTACTGAGATCTATGTCAAAACTAGTATGCCTCTGAAATATTCCAGCTTTGACAAAAATACATGTTTTTGTTAATGTTCGTAAGAATGTGACAGCCGTTCACAGCAGTATTCTGTCTCTAACAATAGCTGTAAGTGGATGATTAGGGACCAGAAGAGCAGATAAACAATACTCCTCCTCACCCTCCCCAGCACTCTCTCAGCCTCCAGCTATTTTCAGCTCAGGGGATTTCCTGAGCCTGATGTAGTTTGTCTGTTTAGTTAATGGGACTCTCTCTTCCAAGTATTTATCCAGTCTCCTGTGGAGCCCACAAAAAATTTTTGTTCAGCTCTGTCCTACTTGTAGAAGTCCTTTCAGATGCCATTGATGGCAAAATAAGAAAGGCAAAATAACAACTTTTGAAAATTCATTCTGTGGATGAAGTTGCCCAAGCATTCACCTCTGTCTCAATGCTGGTTTTTGTCAAGCTCTGCTAACTTCCATGAGAGCCAAGCTGAATCAGTGTTAAGTGTTCAGCAATGAGATTTAGGAGGTTTTATTTCTTGGGCGTCCAACCCAATGTGCTTGTAAATTGGCCTAATGTGCCAACTCAGAACTTTTTAAGATTTTTGCAAAACTGAACGCTCGAGGGGTGAGCCACCTCAGGCGCTTAAAAACGGTCATGACCTCTAAGCTTAAATTTGTATTCAGCAAAGTCTGTAAAGGCTAGGTTATTTTTCTAATCTAAATTTAAAAAAGTTTTCAGTATGCCAGTGTCTTTTTAAATAACAGTGCTGCGATGATGATCTAATCCTGTCTTCTCCATCAGAACAAACTGAAGAAGCTGAGGTCTACCAGGACCTTTGCTGGCAGCACCTAAGTGACGATTTTGTTTGTAGTCGACCTCTGGTTGGAAAGCAGACTACGTATACTGAGTGCTGTTGCCTGTACGGAGAAGCCTGGGGCATGCAGTGTGCACTGTGTCCTATGAAAGAGTCAGGTAAGGAAACACACATTCCAATTCTTGGTATGAAATCTGAAATACTTAATCAGTTTAATCCACTGCGTTTAAACCTGCGCTAATAACATAAGAAAAACAAAACCCTAACCTCTCAAGAACTAATGGAAATTTTTTTCTCATTAGTTAACAGAAAATCGTTACAGTCTACATTTTGAAAACGTATTTGCTTTTATTTTTTGCATTTACAGGACTCATTTCCTTCCGGTGGAACTATCAGTGATAGGCAATTTAGAACTTTGATGGAAACAGGAGGACAGTTTAAGGGTAGCAGAGTTCCCTAACATGGCTGACAAAAACCTTCTGTGAAAATGCAGATGCAGTTCATGTGCACACACAGACACACACCACACTACTCAACAGCTTACATAACTGTTTTGCTTTTTTGTTGCTGGTATTATACATTCAGATGCATTTTTCACTGTGGTATTCTGCCAGGCTGGCTGCAATTAGATGTGTTTGATAAGGATCTGGTAAGTTGTGGTTTAGGATCACTAAACCCTTGAAAAATGAGGTGTTATTATATGGTCGTATGTTCACATATTATTAAATGTATACACGAGCAATTTAGGATAGCTAAAGGACGTGGGTTACCAATAAGGACTGAACAATTTCCAGGAAATAAAATTTAATGCTAAAGAAAGCTGACAGTCATATTTTTATAAGACTGTATTTTATTTATATGTTTAGAAATCAGATACTGTTCCATGATATTTCAGGTAAAAGTTGCTGCTTGTGGTGACTACAAAAGCTAAAAGGATGTACAGAGAAATGTCACTGACACACAGATTTATGTCTGGGGACTGGAGAAGGGACCAGTATAAGCAGCATAGGTACATGTCGTGCTGTGCCTAAGATACATCAGCCCTGGTATATACAGTCTGGTACGATACTAACCTTTTCCCCTGCATATAAACTATTCCAAGGTCTAGTTTGGATGTAGCTTTCTTACCATAAATATGTCTTTTGGTGATACGGCTTTCCATGTAGGAATACCATGCTGCACTTGTAAAACATTTTATTGTGAACATACCTGGATTTTCAGCTTGACCTGTGTTACTCTAATGATAATGTCGTGGCTAAAGCAGTACATGTTTTACTTGTTGCAAAAACCCTAGAGTTAAAACTACATAGGGAAGCTCAGTGAAGCATTAATGTGGTTGTTTGTCTGTTTGGTTTTTATGCTTTTATAATTTACTTGCAAGGTCCCTGAACCTGTTGTTAGATATCTTTACTTGTTGGAGTTTGCTTTGGAAGCACAGCAACTGAAAAAAAGTCCCTGATTTTGATGATGTTGGCTCGAGTAACTGCTGGCTGATGCTTAACCCAGAAAGAGACTGAAGAATAAAAACAGGGCATGACAGGAGCTTAATTTATAAGATATGGAAATCTCAGAAATATCTTTGTCAGAACAAATCTTACAGGAGGACATTGAATTACTACACCTGCTAGAATAACAATTGCAATGGAATTTAATGTAATATTGACAAAAAAAAACAGGGCAGTAGCTAGTAGAAGAATTGTTGCTACGACCTGGAGCTCCTGAGGAGGAAAGATTGAGCAGATTAAAGCAGTTTTTCTTTGTACGAAGTTCGTCACATGGCTACAGTGACCCATCTGTGTGATGTAATCCTGAGAGAAGGAAAAAACTGTTCCTGGTAGAGAGAGTTCAGATAAGTATGAGACTTGCTTCTGGAAATTTCTAGCTAGTTACATTTAAAGGAGGATAAATCTGAAAAGGAAGAAAGACTACCAAGATGGCGAGGGAAAGAGAACTGTCTTACAAGGGAAGATGAAAAATTCCAAACATGGATGCAGAACAAATGATAAGACTCTACATTACAGCACAGTCATGGAGGATTCCTGCAAACTTTTTAATTAATCAAAAGTGCTGATGTGAGACTATTTCAGTCTGAAGATATTAGATGTATTTTGATCATTAGGACCACAAGATTCTGGTCCAACAGTGGGGTGCAGATTCCCACTAGCTCAATGAAGAAACTTGAGAAATTAATTTAAAAAATTACATGGAAGTTCCTGGTGGATAAGATGGACAACATCCTAAACATCAGTTCAATGATCCTCAGTCAAAGCTAAAGAGCATTATGTTGGATCATAAAATCTTTCTCTTTCCAGACATAAGATAACTTTTATGTGACATTTAATTTGCTTTGAGAAGTACCTGCTTTAACTAAAACTATCAGTCATACTTTGATCCCAAATACTTTAAATCATCCTTATGGATTGGAATGTAGATAGTTTTTTTAAAAAAAGCGTATTGAATCTTTATTAGGTCAGAACAAGGACACAAGCTTACATTTCTTAGTGGAGATGGTATGTGCTCATTTGTCCTCACACACATGTGCATGCACCCACACAGAAACCTGGAAGCCTTTCTCTGTTTTCAGGAACATTTACCAAGAAAAATTTAAAGCTGACTGAGCTGAATAAATGATTCATTTGACATGTCTTCAGTTTGTAGCACTTAAAGTGATATCATTGGCTCGAGAGAGTGCTTTCACACCTCCAGGCCAGCAGGTCACAGGTTCAAGTCCTGGCTGGGGAACCTGGAATTTCTCCATTTTTAAATACTTAGGTTTTGTGTTGGCCAGATTTACCAGTGAAGGTGTTTGCTTATTTCCCCAGTTAGGAGTCTTCTGAAGATTTGTAACACATGGTAAAGAAGGCCTGGTGATGTGAAAAGCATTATCGCCAGAAGACTTTCACCATGAAATGGGCTGGATCATAGAACAGATCATTCACTGATCTGTGGTTTCCTTTTACCTTGTTTGTACTCTTCTTGTATTTGAGGATCTAGTTGCTACCCTTAGAAAGAAGGAAGTACAGGCCTACCAGCATAAGTGGTAAATTTGCAAGTCCCTTCTAAAGAGCTTCACGCTTTAATAAAAATAACCTCCAACTTTTGTAACCCAGCTTGTCTTTAAAGCCCTTCCATTTTTCATGAGAAGATTTAAATGACCTGTTTAAGTAGCATCCAGCATAAATCCAGTGGGAAGGTAGAGAACTCCTATGTGATGAATCACATACAGAATCATATTCTATGTTAAGTTAAAAAAAATACAGTCTTAAATCAGCATGAAAATAGAATTTCCATGTTTGCTATTATTTCTAAAAGCTACTAATGGGTGCTTAATCAAACAAACCCCACTGAAAATGACACCAAACATTCATAGCCTGAGACAAAAATATTTATTGCCTGAGCACTTGTTGAAATATTGCAACTGAAGAGAGACATCTAACAGCAGTAAGACTGGTAAGTATTTTGATGACAACATTGAGGAACAAACTCAAAATACTAGCTCAAAGTCCTGATCAAAATACTGCAAACGTGGACTATAGTGCTGTGATGGAGTACATCTTACTGGTGTATACAATTTCATGGGGCAGGCCTTCTCATCATTAAACAGAGGATGCAAAGACAGATTGTTTTCAATCACATTGGCTCTAACATTATGATCTTATAATATCATCATATTGCAGGTAAAGACTTGTACAAATTGCATCCAATGCCAAAACATTAAGTACTGAGATGTATTCTCTCTGAGCTCATTGCAGCTTTAGTAGCTTTTCTTTGTTGCATCCACCCCCAAAAAATTATCTGTGGGATGGCCTGCCTTCAGAATTTCTGCTTTCTTGGTCAATTTACTCTTAGTGTCTAACGTCCCAACTCTCTTCATCCAGAGTCCATGGTCTAGTAACTGGCAGCAGGACAGGCACTGATAGGTTTAGCAGCTGGGTCAAAGCCTCGATACCAGAAAACAGGGCAAGTGGCCTAGATTGAAAAAATCTGGAATCTTAAATAAAGCCATGTATACCTGAAGTTAACCTGAACCTGTAGGACCTGGGCTGTAAACTTTCTGAGAGTCCAGAAGCTCCTGTGAGACCCTTAGGAAACTGTAGTGGATTTTAGACAAGGTGTATTGTTACACCTTACAGGAAAATTGAAGGGAGGATGTAGAACTAACAGCTAGAAAATGTTGGGTAAGGTGGTGTGCTGGGATCAGCATTTAGTTTACAGAGACTGCATATTTTTGTATTTGTAAAATTATCTCTTTGGAGTTATTGCAGTGTAGTACCCTCTTTGTTTCAGTAAGACCTTAAGATGCTGGTAATCTGGAATAAAGAGCCCTTGAACTAAAGATATGTCAGTCAGTTAAGGAGGGAGGGTGCTTTCTCCTGTGGCTGCCTGGAGAAGTTTTAATGTAGAAAAATGGGATAAGGTAGGACTGGGGCTCTGCAGCTTTAACAGATATTTTAATAACTATTGAGAGTGGGGGTGCATTACTACATATAGAACTTAGATTTTTTGTTCATGTGAGTGCTAAGACAACGTCATGAACACATTCTAGGCAACTGGAAAGGGCAACAGCATTCAGTTTATCAGCCTTCTTATTTGTGTATCATTATACATACCTTTTTTATTGTAAGTTTTAGATTCTAGTACTTTGTGGGTTTTTATAGAACCACTGTATGATTAAAAGATCTGCAGAAAGGACGGTAGATGTTACAGATGTTCTGTGGGACAAGTAGCATAAAGAACTGCTGAAGACTTATGTTGTCATTGAAATTTCTTTTATTTCCACCTGAGCATTTGCAAAGCCCACGCTAGGAGAACACTGAAGGCAGTGGGTAACATGAATCACCTGGGGTGTTGTATAATGTAGGATTTCTCTTGGCTAACATCACATAGTGTTTTTTACACAGAAACCCACATCAGTGCTGGTCCTGTCGGTTTCTCCTTCCATCAGGAAAGAGATATCAGCATCTTGAGCAATATAATCCTCTGACCTGTTCTAGACACGTTCTGTACAGTGAGATGGTATCCTAGAAGTAATGTATTTCCATGGATAAAGAATGGGCACTGGATAACTAATTCAGATGCAGACTCTGGAGATGCCTACATGTAGTTGAATTCTACCCATTTCTGGCAGAACAGATTATTTGGATTGCATTTTTGTTGCGAAGGAACTCTGTGTATCCTTTGTAAACATTATGAATTAGTTCTGGGCTGAGCTTCCATATTATGAGAACATAGTGTTCCCTTCGAATTCTGGCTAATGTCACTCGTGAAGATCTGGAAGTACAGGGAAAACCAATGTGTGTAAAGGATGAGTTTCCATCTGTCCTCTTTTGAGATGGTAAAGCTCAGCAGGGAAGCACTGGATTCATTTCTGGAGATCATCGTTCTTCTTTCCGTTTAGGATGGCATTGTGCCTCCCTCCTTTCTGGTAAGGACTCTGGTCAAATCGATTATATCCTCTGGGCTTAAAATATTACAGTAACTGAGCATTGACTATTCCAAGTCTTGTGCTCACTTGTGCAGAGTTGTTTAATTTCTATTGATGAAGGTTTTCAGTGTTTTTTCGGAACTGTAGGAAAGACATGGAGAATAGCTTTGGAAGGGTTTTCCTCATGAAACCTCAAGTTCCAAGTGTACATAGAAGTCAGCAAGGAGTCAGAACGCCATGTGCAAAGTTGCAGCAAAAACAAGCTCTTATTACAACTTTTAACTATCTACCTCTAGCAGTAGGAGAGAAAAGATCATTTTAGGAAATTTGACCAGCATTGGTTGAGGAGCAAAAGATAAGGAACAAAACCAAAAGATTTTTGAGATAATTGAATTACTAATTACTTCAGTTTTAGCAAGACCTTCGCGTCCACTGTAAACTCTTTCTCAGCAATTTCATTTAGAGTGTATCCATGTGAAGACAATAATATGCTTCCTAACTCATGAAAAAAATCCCTTAAAACTGTTAGCATTCCCTTTTTCTTCAGTTGTAGAATGTACATGAATTCTTTCCACCTCAAACCTCAGCATCTTTTCGTGAGCGATATCAGTAAAATTATCTGAATAGTCAAACAGCACAGTCTAAATGTAGAGCAGAAATAACTTCAGCTTTTGTTCACAAATGATGCATTCCTGAGACAGCTTAAACTTAACCAATTCAGTCTGATGTCCAGAACCTCTGGTTGGGAAGGGATGTATATTACATGTGATAAATGATTTCTTGGTTTTGTTCTTCTCTCTGGTGATTTCTTTCATGCCAAAACTGCTGATTTGGTCAATAATTTGAAGGAATTGCCTTGGTGTCAATAGTTTTGGCTCCTTGTGTGTGTGTGATGGTGACAATTCTGAGGAGTTGGAACAGCTTGCCTTATGGGCAGGAGCTGAATTAGCTGTGATGCAGTTGTTTCGTGGTTGTGTCAGGAAAGCTTTTTTGTATAATATTTTGCTTTAAATACATGAAATATGGAATAATTTTTCTGATGGGAGAATTAAGGATTTTTAGGCCTTTGGGTACAAGTAAGGCCCACACAAGCTTGCACAGCTACAACAGCTGTATATGCAAATCAGATGCACATTTGCACAGCTGCATTTGTGCTAAAGAAAACCTAAAAACCAGTCAGTCCATCCAATTTATGTTGCGTTGTCTCTGTCAGCCGAGCTTTCATCACCAATTACAGCTAACATCTGTGCCAGTATGCATGTGTGTCTAGCTGTAATCCCCTAACACTTGTTTAATATGCAATACATCTGACTTTAAAAATGTCCTTTACATTTTTGGAAGCATACATCAGCTTCCTTTTAAAATAGCTACCCTAAGTCATACAACAAGATGTCTTTATGCTTCATTTGCAAGTTATGAGAAAAACTTAGAAACACATGGAGCAGTGTAGACTAAACTATATACTGAAAACAAAGTCTTTTTTTTCCTCTTGAACTGCAGTTGTGTTGTCCCTGATCGCAACCAGAAGATGAACAAGTAGAAAAAATAAACCCATATAGAAGAAAGTTTTTTCATTGATTGTGAATTATAGTTTTTTTTTTAACTTTACATGACAGATTCATCTGAAAGTGAGCATTAATTTTTGTGACAAATAAAATGTTTTTGTCATTCAGGGGTAGTTTCACATTCTCTCTTGCTCTTTGCCCTGCCCCCTTACCACTTTCTTGATCTCAGTCTCCTACTGTCATCTCCCTGGGGCAATGTCATGCTGTTCTCCCATTTGTATACTTGCTACAACTTTCTGTGTGTCAGTCATACTTTTATCCACAAATCTTACAGCACTCTGTTCATTTAGTTCCCTCCCCTGGAAAACTCTGACCAGCACGCAACTCGGTGACCCAAAATACATCATTTTTAATTTGAACTGTAGGAACACAGCATAGCAAGGGGAAAAGTTTAAAACAACAGAAGCTGTCATCGCCATAACTTGTTCTGTCCTCTGCAGGGGCACTCTGATGGGTTCATTTCTCTCAGGCATCTAAGTCTCAAGTCTACCTTATTTCATAACTCTCATGATCTTTCCAGAAGAATGTGACCCCCCAGATGCTTTTCAGTCTTTGTACTCTCCTCTCTGCCTACCCTTTTCTTCCCCGCCAGGGAAAGAAAAAAAGAAAGGAAAAGACAAGCAGAAGAAGGTGGCATAGATAACTTGCCATTGTTACCAGTCCTGAATTGCTAGTGTTGATTTCTTAGGTGAGTTGCTAAGAGCAACTGAGCACCTAGTGACTGAACCAACACATTACTGAAGGCAAGAGATTTAGTCTACACTATTTGTACAGCTAAATAGAACGTAAAGTATTAAGAGAGTATTATAGGTAATTACAGAGAGGTAATTAACAATACCTAAAAATGCAGATATTCAGAATTCAGTCCTTCCCATCAGGTCACATTCACACAGAAGAAGCAGTGATCCCAAAGACCTGCTTGTCTTGCCCCCTTGCCTTTCATTGACTGTTTTTGTGTGGTGGTTTCATCCACACAGGCCACATGGATTAGTATTTTGTGGTAGAGCGCAGATTTCCTTTGCCAAGAACATTTATGGGCATCTGTGAGAAAGTGCTTTTACTACTCTGCACAGCTTTTTTTCTATGTATATATGAATGGAGGAGTCACTCTGAGATGATAACCTGGCTGTCTCCATGCATGGATGTTATCTGGGCTTAGGTGTGGGGAAGGAAGAATGGAGTGTTTCTGGTCCTATGACAACTCTTAAAACCATACTTATTATCACAGCATCTCAGTGGGAAGCTGTGCAGTCAGGGATGAAAATAACTTTTGCTATATGCTGTTTATTTTCTCATGCTGACCTTGTTTCCTGTGCCCTGGGGTACCACTCTTGGGCAGTGTACTTTGTCAGCTGAGAGAGGATAGGGTTTTTTGAATATTATTACTGTATATAAACATATTCTGGAAGACACACCTCAAAGGAAACCACCGTGCTCATGAAGCAGAAGGTGGTGACATTTACAATGATTTGTAAGTTCTCTGGGGAGTTCATTCTGCAGACTTGGACTGGCACCCTTGACAGCTCTGGACGTTCACAGACAAGCTTTACCTATACTATACTGTCTTGTGCTCTCAAAGGGTCGCATTGTTGACCACAGAATTCAAACAGACTTTTTAAACACTTTTTGGGTTTTTTTTTCAGTAAATAGTTACAGGTGGAGGAGATACTACCTGTGAAAATAAAATTACAGTGCTGGGCAGCAAGTGGGACTGTGCTCTGCAATGTCTAGAGCAGTCTGGATTTATCCAGCTATTTGCTGTCTGGGACAGTTCTACACAGCATGAGGTTTCTGGCTCTGTAACCATCTGCAATTCTTGGATTTTGTATCTGCTTAGGGCTTTTTTTCCTCTCTCTCTTTTGGTGGTTTTTCTTTCACGTCCTTTTTTCTGCCTGATTCTCAGAACACCAGGCAATCTTCACAGAACCAGATGCTAAATAGTCTGCAGCAACATTAAAGAAGCACCTGGATTCTATATTTTAACAACATTTCTATTTTCAAATAAGTTGGTTTGTATGTGTTTTAGTAAAGGGTAATAAAAACAGAGTTGACACAATTTTAATTTGATTTATAAAAAAATTAAACTCTGCATCAGCATTTCAGACATGGACTCTGGCACCTGAAATGAAGAGTTGTTTTGGTCTGCTTCAACTTTTGTAGTCTAGCTACTAGAGAAAGGCATAAAGTCAGAGTGTAACTATTTCTCCCGTGCTTTTCCCCATGCCCTTTGAGATTCACAGCCAAGGAGACTTGGAGCAGCACTAATACTTAAGCCTATGTTGTTGTTGAAGATACAGTTTGTAGATAAGTGTGGGCTATTTTAGAAGGATTTTTCACTCTGATTTCTGCAGGTTGGCTGACAGTGCCAGAAATGTGGCTGTACCTGCTCCAATTTATTTTCTTTGGGGTTGCTTCTGAGAGCAGCCATGATGGTCTGGAGTAGCCTCTGTTCCACAGAAGGAGGACTATAAACATTGATAGCTTTGGAGAGGAATGCATTAGCAGTGGGATACACAGCATCCCTCTCCTCTTCTTTCCATGCAGACCAGAAGAAGCTGACCTATAACTTTTTGTTCAGTTATTGACTCAAAGCTATCCCTGGTGTTATCCCTATTATGACTTAATAGTATATTTTTGGCTCATTAACATCTTAATGACATTCTTCTTGAAGAGAGAATGCTTTCTGGAAATTGCAGATTTATGGTGTTTCTAGGAAGATATGTTTATTTCCAGCAAATACGAACCACAGCTCACTGGGACTAATGTAATGCAGCCTGTGTTACAAGTGTGTTTACTTTTATATCCTATTTTCTTTCCCCCCTCAGAGGATTACGCCCAGCTGTGCAACATTCCTGTTCCAGGATCAAGACGGCCATATGGACAGGATGCTTTAGTTGACTTCGAGGAGCACTACCCTCCAGAAACTAATCCATACTTTGTTGAAGACCGTAAGCAAGTTTCTGTTATGTAAAACAGTTGAAATGAGGGTTGTAACTTGAATTGTGTCCCTGTAGGCCAGCTCCATTCTTCTCTTTTGCTTCTGAGTAATGTGGCTTTTTTATGTTTTAGTTATTCCTATGACACTAGCTTTCAGTCAGGTGTTCCAGTTCAAGAGCCAGGTTTGTATGAGAGTCCAGTTGGGCTCAGAGTACAATTAATTTTTAATATAGTGAAATAGTTTGTGCCAAGTCTACTAAACTTGTGTTTACCAACAGATTTACAACTCAAGGTCAAAGGAATTGCCAGTTTTCCTTCTCACAAATTAATTTTCCTTTGGAGCACGGGACAGATTTCTCCAGAGTGCATTTAATTTAAAAGAAAAAATTTCCATGATTTCCCAGCAGAATTTATATGGGTGAAATGAGAGCATGCAGTCATTCTTGCTCAGTGGAGAAAATGTACAGCACAGTATGATTAGAGAGTATGCATTCATATAGCCTTCGTGCTAGAATGTATGGCCTGCCAAGCAGGGTGTAAGGGATTGTACGCGGCATCTCAGCTGTACTTGAGGAATATTGGGGTTCTTTATGGGTCTGGCCAGCTCATTGTTAAGACTTGATGGAAAGTAATGTTTACAGATTTCAGCGTCTGTCTCAAAATCGGCCACAGGTCCAGTATACTTAATCACAATTTTAGAGAAGAAAAATGGAGGTACCAGAAGGAACTGGTAACTTCCCATGCTTTATGTATATGGTCTACAAGTTGCTGCTATGCTCTTTCACAGTCAGTGTTATCAAGTGTTGATGTTTAATTGAACTTTAATTACTTAGTGCTGATGTTTAATTGAAATGTAACATAGTTGAAAACTACCAATGAAAACTACCATCCACACAAAGAAAAGGTCAGAAGGATGACTGGGAAACCAATGTTCATGTACTGTTAATCAGATAAAATACTGAGTGGGAAAGAAGCATTTCACAAGCTATAAGCAGAGGTAAATAAATATGATAAAATGTGGATGGTTTTGAATGCACAGCTGAGACCACTATCTTCATAGGATGGCTTCAATTGGAAAGGACCTTAAAGATCATCTACTTCCAACCTCTTAGGGGCAGAGGCTTAAATACTTACGGCTCTTGCTCCTGTCCTATCACTGAATCAGATGGGGCATCCTGATTAGGGCATCAGAGACTTCAAGGTCACAATCCTGCTGCAGGTTGTTTGAGGAATCAATACCTCCCATCCCCTAGCAGGGCCATGTACTTCAGTGTAGTATTTGTCATTGTGCTGTCATTTTCTACAGAACCAAATACATCCATTAGGATTACAATACAGGTCCCATCCAGCTGTTTTGAAGTAACTTGTGAAGTAGAACTTGCTGTGAGTGATAAATATTTTAGTTTCGGCTAGTTAAACTTACAATATAATGTGTTTATGAGAGAGAGAGAGAATGAGAAAAATATGTATATAGGTGTGTACACATGTTTATGCACATGCATATATACCTATATATAAAATATCTGTCTAATAAATTATGCCTTTATTTAAAAAATATCTACATATTTGTGAGGGACACCTTTCCTTTCCTTGACACTGTTTTCTAAATTAGAAAAAGTCTTCACTTTAAATGTCTCTTGTAGAGCCCTCTGCAAGCTCTACCAGAGAACTCAAATGAAACTTGGTTAAGTTTCTTACTACATTATTACCTACATCATGACAGTGCTCAATACCCTCCATAGTTTTGCACCCAGAAGTGATTTACTAGGTTCATGGAAAAGACTGCAATGTTTCCCACTTATTTTATGCTCGTATACATCCTATTTATTATATATGTCCTTGAGATGTGACGTGTCAGCAAGTACGTATGTCACATTATGTGTTCAGTGTCTTCAGAATCTATTCAGTGTATGACTGACCAGCATGATCCTTACTAAGAATCCCACATGCTAGAAAATCCAGGATAGAAACAATGTATGTAGTCAAAGAGAGGGGGAGTGGAAATGGCAGTATGGAAGTTACATGG